GCAGGGGCCTGGAGCCGGGGCCGAACCTGATCCCTACTCACGTGCCTGCCTGCCTGCAGCCCTGGCCGCCAAGGGGAACATGGTCCCCTGGGACCCTCTGCACAGGGAGGAAACTGGGTCTCCGCCATGTGATAGCAGTGGCAGGAGGGTGGCCAAGCACTGGGGCATCCGACTGGTGGTGTCCAGCCAGCCCTGCTCAGTGGGCACAAGCCGCAGTGATCTTGGGAGGGCTTCAAAGGAGCAGAGGAGCCCCTCAGCCAGACTGTGGGTCAGCGTGGGAGCCCCCTGGCCTCCCTCTCCAGGCAGCTCACCAGGCTTGCTGGGGCTGGGACGGTAGCTGCAACCCCACCAGTGTTCCCTGCACTGTCCCTTGAGCCCCTCTGGCTGCCATGTGGACCCCCAGGGAAGAGCCGGTGGGGAGTGGAGGTCGGGGTGTCCTCTGGGCTCCTAGAAGGCTGGAGAGGAGCTGTCCCTGCTGTGACGTTGGCCACTTCCTCCCGCCCCAACCTCTGCCAGCTGTATCTGAGCTTCCCTGCGATTCAGGGACCCCTGGGCAGGTGGCAGGGCAGGGCAGTGCTGAATTCCATTGCTAGGAGACCTCAGCCCTGCTCCTCACGCCCCAGGGCTGGGCTGACTGGAGTAGGGACATGGCCAGCGACTTCCCTTGCCAGCTGCTTTAGCGGCCTGGGCCCCCTCCTCCCCAAGTTGGGTTTGCTTGCAGGCATGGGTGCCCGCCGGAGGCCTATGGGCTGTGGAAGTTGGGCAGAGCTGGGAAAGTGGGGGTCCTTGTGGATGTCCCCCTGCAGTGGCCCTGGCAGGCTCTCAGGTTCCGGCCGCTCATCAGCACCTTCCTGTTTGGGAGATTAACCCAGGCTGAGCAACAGCCCTGTCCTCGGCAGAGCAGCCTGGAGGCCGTGGGGGTGCAGGGCCACGGGGGTCCACCTCTGCACCCCCTTCATTCAGTCTGTCAATGGCCTCAGTGCCCCCTCCCTGCCCCGTCTGCTGTACTGCGGTCGCTCCCGGAAGTGGGCGGGATTCTTCCGCTCCAGCGAGCCACTGTCCATCTGCTGGCATCATCCTCTGGCCTCGAGTGATGCCCTGCAGGAAGGAGGCCCGGACCCCGCCCCTGGGGGTTACTGGCCATGTGGGCCGGACGCCCTCAGGCCGCTGGACTTTGGCACCTTCCCTATGCGGGCGAGTGGCCTCGGGTGCCCCCAGTGACCATACCCATAGCTGCTGCTGGGCCTCCTGGTAACTAGCCCCCCCCCAGGGGTTTCCTGCAGCCCCGACATCCTGCCCTCTCTGCCCCTTGGCCTTGGGGGCTACCAGGTGGGGCTGTGCAGAGGGCAGAGTCGAGGAAGGAAGGAGGGACAAGGAAGGGTGCTCCCTTCACTTCCTGCTGGCACACACAAGGACACCAGCGCCAGGGGACACACAGACTGTCCTGACCTATATGGAGCTTGGGGCTTGGAGCTGGGCCTCTGCCAGTGACCAGTGCCCCAGGTCCAGCTTAGCCCCTCACAGCCTCCCACATGGTTTCTCCAACACCTGCTTCACCTGCAGAGACCCTCAGAACAAAGGGCGCAGACCAGCTTATGGGGCCCCACCAAGCCCCACACAGGGGACACTAGACGTAGGCACCCACATACAGCCATGAGGCTCCCAAGCCCACCCTTTAGACTTGTTTGGGGGCACCCATGTGGGGGAGGGGCTGGGGTCCCTCAGGTCAGAGTCCAGAGGGTGAGTGCATGGACAGACAGAAGCGATGTCCCTCCTTCAGCTGTCCCCTCCCTCTACTTGCCAGGACCAGGAGTGAGTGTCCCCTTGGAGGCAGCACCGCCTGCTCTCTGTGTCCACAGCCCTTCAGGTCTGGTCCTGTGGGCACAGTTGTGGGGTCATTATTAGGGCAGGGGTCGTGCCTGGGACCTGGCATCCACGGTCCCACACAAGCTGTTCTTGGCCAGACGATGGCTGCTGGGTCATGGGCTTCCGGTGTCCCTGGCCTCTGCAGGATACAACTATGGGTGGGGGGGTCTGGTGGTCTGGGGCTGTGTGCTGGATGCTGCAAATCAGATTAGCCAGCCCAGCTTGGTCCAGGCATGGGAGGCAGCTGCTGGGCAGGAGGCCCACCCTTCAGCCTGGGGGGTGCTGTACTCTCTCCTGCTGCAGTGTCAGCAGTTCATGGGATTTGAGCTTAGCACGGGCTCTCCCTGCCACCCACTGTAGCCTGGCCCTTGGGTCCCATCCCAGTGGGAAGTTATGGGCCTGGGGGCGGGGGTGGGGAGAGACAGGTACACATGGCCCTCCCTCCCTCCTTCCATCATGGGCCTGCCAACTGATGCTTTTAACACCTGACACATGCCAGGCACAGCTCAGGCCCACGGGTACACCAACGGCTTTGTCCTCTGTGCCTGACACCCAGAACCTGCCCAGCTACCTGCATGTGCAGTCTCTCTGTTCAATCATCCTCCTTATATCCTCCATCACTCACCCACCCACCCATCCACCCACCCTTCCTTCCTTCCATCCACCCAAGCATGCATGTATCCATCCTTGTACTCATGTTTCCACTCTTCCATCTACCATTCATCCACCCATCTGTCCGTCCATCCATCCATCCATCCATCCATCCATCCATCCATCCATCCACCCATCTTCCCACCCAACCATTCACCTATCCATACAACCACCCATCTATTCATCCATCCACCTATTCAACTATCCATCCATCCATCCATCCATCCATCCATCCATCCATCCATCCATCCATCCATCCATCTTCCCACCCATCCATCTACCCATCCATCTACCGATCCATCTGCCCATCCATTTACCTACCCACCCATCCACCCACCTATCCATCCACCCAGCCATCCAGCCAGTCATCCACCCATCCATTCAACCTTCCACCCATCCATCTATCCTTCCATACATCTATCCTCCTTCTATCCCTTGATCAGCCAGCATCTTACTGATTGTGTGTACCTGACCCTGTATGAGCTGTGGCTGCTGCCCTGGGGCCTGGTGGCCCTGTGTGTGAGTGCATGCATGACTGTGTGTGCGTGGTGCGTGCCTGCCTGCCTACCTGTGTGCATGTGTGGTGCCTGCGTGTCTGTGTGCATGCGTGGCGTGGTGCCTGCCTGCTTGCCTGTGTGCGTGCATGCCATGAAAGCTTAGATTCCCAGGTTGTTGGCGCTAGGTGGACACAGTGTCTGTCCGGAGCTGGGCCTGGGGCTGGCCCTGAGACTGCCCTCTCTACTCCTCCCAAGGACTCTAAGACTTTCTGGCCCCACTCCCTGCCCCCTGCCTGGCTCCCTGTCTCCAGTCCCCCCTTGCACTCTAGTGGGGCCTGGAGGGAGACTTTGGGTTGGGCACAGGTCGGGCCCAGCAGCCGGGAGCTGGGGCTGAGCAGGAGGAAGGGCAAGGGGCAGAACTGACCTCCAGGAGTCACCACAAAATTCCACTCTCCTGACAGCAGAGTCATGGATCCACTCTTGCCAAAGCCCACGGCCCTGCAGGCTGGAGGCTGTCTGGTCGTTTTCAGATAGACAACTCAATGATGCGCCTCCACACCTGGCTGCCAAGGCATGAGGGGGCCCTCCTCCAGTCAGGCTGCCCTCCGATCTCCTCTGCACTGGCTCCTGGGGTGTAAGCCCACAGGCGCCATGTTCTGCTTGGAGCTTGGCTGGCTTCCAAGCCACGGGCACCCAGTCAGTGCCTGCTCTGCTGGAGAGCAGAGAGCCAGGGCCTTGGGGTGGCACCAGCTCAAGAAGTAGGGGGTCCCCGACGACCGGCTGGGTGCGTGGAGGCTGAACTTGACCTTAAGCACCGAGTAGGTCTCCACCAAGTACAAACGCTGCTGGACCCCAGGTCTGCGGGGGGAGGAGGAGCCATGCCTTCTGCAGAGACTTGAGTCACAGCCGTGCTCTGGCTGAGACAGCTCTCAGGACAGCAAGAAAGGGACTGAGACCACAGGCCGGAGCCTGGGCCACTCCTGGGGGAGTCACAGATGACAGACTGCATGTGTGTGCAGATGTGTGTGAATGCATGTGTGCATGTGGGCATGTGTGTGCCTGCATGTGCATTGTGCATGTGTGTGTGGTTGCTGCATAGTGGAGTGGAGAAGGAACAGGGCGGGCAGATACTGCAGACAGAACGATTTAGAGCCTGGCTCAGCTGCCCCTGCTGCCCAGCCCCTGGGCCCCACCAGCCATGGGGGTCTTCTCTCCTCGCCCCCCCCACCCCCGCCCCCGTGGCAGGAGGAGGACGGGTTTATGACAGGAGGTGACAGTGTGGGAGACTTGTCACTGGGGCACCTCCAGCCCCATCTGCTCTGGCATCTGCCTGCTAATGACCTGGGGTGGGAGCGGGAAGTCTGGGAACCCCCGCTCCACCACGCCCTCCCACTCCTCCCCCTGCTCTGCGGTCTTGCAGCAAATGGGCCGCAGCGCCCAGGCTGGAGTGTCGGGAGAGACTGGCCGTGCGCGTGTCCCCCGGACCAGGAGGGGCATGTCCACATGCCGACATGCCGGGAAGCGGCGAGTGAGGGTGGGCTGGCGCGGCCTTGCTGGCCCGTGGGAAGGCGGGGGAAGGGGGGTGAAGCGGGGCACGGTGGGGCCCCCCCGCGGTCCGCGCGCCCGGGACCAAATGGGCCGGCGCCAGCTTTCATCCCGCGCCGGGACGCCTTCTCGGCAGGTGTGCGTCCGCGCCCACCCGCGGGGACCCGCCCGAGGGCCCGGGGCGCGCCCCCTCCGCGTGCCGGCAGCCCGGCGACCTGGGCCGGGGGCAACCCGGGCGGGCGGGGCGTGCACGTGTGAGCCCCGCGTTTCCCAGCCCCCCGCGGCGGCCCCACGTGGGGAGGCTCGGCCCGGCGGCCCGCGGCGGCAGGCCCCGCCCTTCAGCCCTGCAGCCAATGGGAGTGCGGGGCGTGCCCCATGGGGCGTGGCCCCGCCCCGCCCCGCCCCGGGCGGCGTCTCCGCGCAGCTTTAAGCGCCGGTAGCGGTCGGCGCGTGCGGCGGGCAGCGGGCAGCGGGCAGCGGGCGGGCGAGTCGCGTGGCCGCCGCCCCACCATGCTCAAGCGCTGCGGCCGCCGCCTGCTGCTGGCGCTGGCGGGCGCGCTGCTGGCCGGGCTGCTGGTGCTCACAGCCGACCCGCCGCCGTCGCCGCCGCCCGCCGAGGGCGCCCGGCGCGCGTTGCGCAGCCTCGAGGGTGCCGAGGGTCCCGAGGGTCCCGAGGGTCCCGCGGGCGCAGCTGGGGCGCGGCGCCGCCAGGTGCACGGCCTGTCCGAGTACTTCGGCCTGCTTGCCCGCGCGCGCGGGGACGGGGCCGCGCGCCCCGCGGACGGGCCCCCGCGCACCCCGGGGGAGCCTCTGGCGCCCCGCGACGTCTTCATCGCCGTCAAGACCACCAAGAAGTTCCACCGCGCGCGCCTGGACCTGCTGCTCGAGACGTGGATCTCGCGGCACAAGGACATGGTGAGCGCCGCTGGTGGCGGGGACGGGGCGCCCCTCCCGGGCCGGCCCCCCGGCGGGAGCGTCCTGCCTGCGGGGGGTGGCGGGAGGGGGGCACGCGAACCCCCGGTCCGCATCCTGGGCGCGCACGCAGAGCTGGGCTGGGGCTCCCGCGGGTGCCCCTCGGCGCAGGAGGAGGACGGGACACGCCCCACTTTCAAACTCTTCCCCCGCGGGCCGCGGCGGGCCGGGGGCGGGGCTCGGGGAGGGGAAGGGGCGCGCGTCGGGGCGGGGAGGGGTCCTGGGAACGCGGGGAGGGGGCGCGGCGGTTTTGTCTGGCTGCGGGTTCCCAGCCCCGCGGGTCCCCTGCTCTCGGCGGCGGCCCCTGGGGGCCCTAACAAAGGCCTTTTCTCCCGCGGAGAAAGGCGGCGCCGCGCCATGGGAACCCGCGGGGCCGCGGCCACTCAGGTTGCCTGGTGATGAGGGGCCTCCGGCCCCCCAGTCCCTGGCTGACAGCCCCCGCGCCCCGCCCCCTGCCGCATGCAGCCCCCTCTGGGACCTCCAGGAGAACCCGGGATGCAGCCACAGCAAATGTCAACTGCAAGTCCTGGCGGGACCCTGGCAGGGGGGCTGGGTGCTGCCCCCCACCTCCACGCAGGAGACCGGACTTGCCCCCAGCTGGGATGTGATAGTGGGGTGGGGGGCTTGATCCTGCCTGCTCCACCCAGTGCCTTTCTTCAGTGACTGCCACCAGGGCACTGGTGCGAGGGCAGACCCGGGGAGACCGACGGTGTGGGCACAGAATAGATGGGGAGGAGGAGGAGGACTTCAGGAGGAGGTGCCAGGCAAACTGCGCGGAGGCCAGGGAGAGCAGGCTGGACACCCCAAACTGCAAGGGGTGTTCAAGGGAGCCCCTGGCTGTGCCTGGTCCAGGGTGGGGGTCTGGCCTCTGGCCCTGTGAAGTCTGCTCCACCCAGCCCACAATGGGAGACCTTGGCATCCTGTGTTTCTTTGAGCTGCGGCTCCAGGAACAATGCCACTTCCTGCGAGTGTCCCCCCCTGCCCCCGTCCCCCCACCCCCGCCAGCCTCACGGGGAGGAGAGGAGGGCGGGTAGAGTGTCCCTGTGCCCAGGGCTGGGGCTGCTCAGCTGAGCGGGTAAGGAAGGGAGCCTTCCGGCTTGCGGGGCAGACGCGGGCCAGGGCCGGGCTCGCAGGGGCATCCCGCCAGCCTGCCCTCCCACCGAACAAAGGTGACTTTAATCTTCATAGCCTTGGGCCTGGTTTTCAGGCTCCACCAAAGCGCGGGAGAGGGAGAGCCGCGCGCTTGATCTCATTAAGAAAGCATTTTCCTTTTAATCCCGGGCTGCCGCGGCGCCCGCACGGGCCGGCCCCCGCCTCCCACGGCATTCCTGGGCCCGGGATGCCGGCAGCTGGCGGGACGAGCCCGTGCCTGCGGGCGCCCGGGGCTGCCTTCCGGCTGCACTGTGCGGTCCCCCAGCCAAGGTGTTGAGGGGGGCCTGTCAGGTGGTGCCTGTTGTGGGATCCTGCTGTGTGCTGGGCTGCCGGGAGAGTGGGAGAGGGCCCTCCCCGGGACCCTCGGGACCCCCTGGGACAGAGTGGGGTTTCCTGCTGCCTTGGCTCCAGCCCCCCAGTGCCCAGGCTTGCACGGGGCCGCCACGGCGGGCTGGCCAGACGGCACGCGCTGGGAGGGCTGGGCCCCAGGGGGACATTCCTCCCCGTGCCGGGACGGGCCCAGGCGGGCACCGGCAGCTCTGCCCCACCCTGCCAGCCCCACTCCTTGGAGGCATGTTGGCACGGTGGCACCGGCCTGGCACTGCGGAGCCCTGGGCAGCCTCGCCAGTCGGCTCAGTTTCCCGCCGAGCGGCAGGAAGGGCTGTGGGGGGCGGGTCGGGCTGGCACCTTCCCGCTTCCACCGGCCTGCAGTGGTGGCACCCGGGGGTGGGGGGGTCATCTGCCCAGCAGGGGCGAAGGGGCCACAGCTCAGAGGGCCAGCTCAGGGGGGCAGGGCTGTGGCCCTGTCTGTTCCCTGCCCTGCCCTGCCCAGTTAACCAGGCCAGCTGTATGATAATGGGCTGCGGCCACTCCCGCTTAATGCAGCCCTGTTAAGATGGCCGGGTACCCCAGCCCGGACAATGCCTGCGATCCACCCTCCCCCGACTCCCCCCCACCCCACCCCCCGCCCCCGCCCTTTGTCCCTGGGGCTTGGCAGCCGCCCAGCCGCAGCCTTTGTCCCCACTGACTGAGACTTGGCTTCCCGAAGCCACCTCTCCTGCCCTCACCCCCGTGCCAACGGTGGGGCAGCGCAGGGCAGGCCCTGTGTCAACAGGGCGTGCCCACCTGTGGCCAGGTGCGAGCCTGGTGGGCGGGCCTCCCCACCTGGCCCGTGCTGCGGAGGCTTGGGGGGCGCCGCTGTGTGCTCAAGGCGGCCTTTGTCCTTCTTCCAGACGTTCATTTTCACGGACGGGGACGATGAGCTCCTGGACCGGCACAGGGGTGAGCCCCTGACTCGGGGAGGGGTTTGGTGCCGACCCTCCCCCCACCCCCTCTGCCCCCCCTTCCCCCTGCCGAGGTCAGGAGGCCACGACTGCAAGGCCCTTTCCTCTCTGGTCGCTGTCCCCCATTCTCATGCAAATGAGCCCTTTGAGCTTAGGTGGAGACCACAGGTGTCTCGGGCTGGGCAGAAGAGCTGTGGCGGGTCCCGCGGGCAGCGGGTGGGGTGGGGGGCGCTGCCCCGGCCGGCCTGCTCACCGGCCCCCCTCGCATCCACAGCCAACGTGGTGAACACGAACTGCTCGGCCGCACACAGTCGCCAGGCCCTGTCCTGCAAGATGGCCGTGGAGTATGACCGCTTCGTGGCGTCGGGCAGGAAGTGAGTGCGGGCCGGCCGGCGGGGTCCCGGCCCCTGCGTGCCCTGACGCCCACTCTCCGCAGGTGGTTCTGCCACGTGGACGACGACAACTACGTGAACGTGCGCGCCCTGCTGCGGCTGCTGGCCGGCTTCCGGCACACGCAGGACGTGTACATCGGCAAGCCCAGCCTGGACAGGCCCATCCAGGCCACGGAGCGAGTGGGCGACAACAAGCTGGTGAGGGCCCGACCCCGGCGAGGCGGCGGGGGTGGGGGGGGTGGTCGGGGGTCCTGCCGCTCGGCTCACCCCGCCTGACCCCACTTTCCTCCAACAGCGCCCTGTGCACTTCTGGTTCGCCACGGGCGGGGCCGGCTTCTGCATCAGCCGGGGGTTGGCGCTGAAGATGAGCCCGTGGGCCAGGTGAGGCCCCACTTGCGGGTCCGGAGGGGTGCTGGGGGGCGCAGGGGCACCGCGGGGCAGCCCCACCTGCGGTTCAGGCTGGGGGCTAGGGACGGCCTGCTCACCGGGCTCTCCCTGCAGCGGGGGCCACTTCCTGAGCACGGCCGAGCGGATCCGGCTGCCCGACGACTGCACGGTGGGCTACATCGTGGAGGCGCTGCTACATGTGCCCCTCACCCGCAGCGGGCTCTTCCACTCGCACCTGGAGAATCTGCAGCAGGTGCCGCCCTCGGAGCTGCACGAACAGGTGCGACCTAGGGTCCCGAGGCCAGGCTGTCCCGCACCTGCCTCCGGTTCCAGCCGTGCCGCGGGGGCGGGGGCGGGGGCGGGGCCAGGCCAGGCCAGGCCAGCAGGACCCCCAGCGCCTGTTGCTGCTCCGCAGGTGACTCTGAGCTACGGAGTGTTCGAGAACAAGCGCAATGCGGTGCACATCAGGGGGCCCTTCTCTGTGGCCGCAGACCCCTCCAGGTGAGGACGCGGGGCGGGGCAGCGCGCGCCGGGGCTGCGGGGTGGGGTGGCGCCCACACCCACAGACCACCCCCCTCTGTCCCTGCAGGTTTCGCTCCATCCACTGCCACCTGTACCCGGACACGCCCTGGTGTCCCCGCACCTCTGTCTTCTAGCCACGGCCAGACTGTCCCCGGGCGCCCCTGGTATCCAAGGGCCCGGGGACCCAGCTCCAAGGCCCCCCAGGGCTGTGCCTTGATGTGGGGGTGCCGGCGGGGAGAGGCTGCTGGGCAGCTGCTCTGCTGGGCGCCCCCAAGTCCGTGCTCTGTGTCAGAGACCCTGAGGGCAGCTGTGGGGTCACCGAGGGGTTCTTTGCAAGACTTTGCTCGATGAGCCGGTTCGCGCCCGCCCCAAGGACCCTGGGGTTGGGTGGGGGGCTGTCTCTCCCCCATCGGGCGGGGTTCGCTTTGTCCTGTACGGGCAGAGCTGAGGTTCAGTCTCCGGAGAGAGACTCGCCCATAGTGGGCGCTGTAGAGCTTCACAGGTTCTCACTGTGCTTTGGGTCTGGTTGGGGGGATGGGGATTTGTCTTTGATTTTTTTTTTGGGGGGGTGTCTTCTTACCTTTTCTGTGGATCAGAAAAAAACAGAAGTCAACCTGGGGGGCTCCCGCGTGCCCTTACTGTTGTCTGCCCAGGGGTCCCTGCCCCGCCCACCTGGCTGGAGGTTCTGGGAGTTGCTGTTGTTCACGGGGCAGAGAATAAAGGTGCTTGGGGCCACCTGCGCTCGTGGTCTTGGCTGGGCTGGGGCTGGGGGGCTCAGCCAGGTGGGGGCTCCACTGGGGGCTGGGCCGCTCCACACTGATTGTCCCGAGGGAACTTGGCAGCCCAGTCACTCCTTAGAGTTCTGGGTTTGGGGCCGGCCTGGCTCTGGTGCCCTGACCTCACCTCACCCTGATATTTTGGGGACAGTAGGAACTTCCCTTGCATGTACCCCAAGCTCTGAGGCCACGTCATTTTTTTTTTTCCTTTTCTGCCATCCTGGGCCGTGATCCAGGACTGGCCCTGGCTCTGCTCAGGGAGCACTTCTGGTGGGGCTTGGGGACCACATAGAGCCAGGGACCAAGCCTGGGGCCCCCGTGCAAAGTGATCGACCTCCCACCAGGCTCTTGGGGCCGCCAGAGGCCACATTCTTGTCCTCTTTCTCAAGTGGGGAAACCAAGGTGGTGGGCTGGGTGTGGTGCTCCGCAGAGGCAGGTGGGGGCCAGGGCTCCTGGACCTGGGCTGCTGATGCAGGGCCCCAGGACTGCCGCTGCCTTTTTCTCCCCTGCAGTGTCCAGGGGACTCCACCCCCCCCCCCCCAGCAGCCCTTCTTCCTTTTCCTCTTCCTCTTCCTCCTGGGCACCCATGAAGCTGTCCCTTCCCCCAGCTGTGTGCCTGTCCACACGGTAAAGCCCCGGACCTGAGCTGTCCTGAGGCGTGGGGAGGGGCCCCCTCTCCCCTGTCCCCTGCCGGGGGCGCGTCCTGTCTCAGTGCTGCCCGCCCTGCCCATGAGGACAATGGGGCCCAGTGCCTCCCTGTGAGCCAGGGCTGAGTCACCTCCTGTCCTGCCGGGTGCTAACCCAGGGCAGCGGGGCCTGTGTGGTCGAGGGGTGTGCCGGAGCATGCGGGGGGCACGCTGTCCCCGAGAGGTCCGGAAGAGGCTCCCCCACTCTGTGCCGGCAGCAAAGCCACCTCCTCGCTCCTCGGAAGGGGAAGTGGCTGGGGGAGGGGGGCTTAGAGGAACTGGGGTGAGTCACCAGGGGTGGGAGGTGACCCCGTGTGCCCCAGCCTGGTGCTGGCAGAGCCCCAATCCTGCCCCTGCCTGTGCGCCCGCCCCCCACTCCACCTAGCCCACCTGAGGGTGAGGGCATCTCGGAGCGCTTGGGGTCTGAGAAACTGGGTCAGCCAAGCCCAGCTGCCCACTAGAACCCTGCCACCGCTCTGGGCTCCCCGAGCCTTCTTGAGTCCAGGGCTGGACATGCAGAGGCCCTGGGGACATGGCTCCCAGACGGGCACTGAGGGTGGGGACTGAGCACTCCCGCCCTGTGTTCCTTGGCTGCCGCCTGCTGGCCGAGCTGGGTACTCCTGGTCTTGTCCACCTGGCTCAGCTTTGGGCAGGGCAGGCAGGCGGTCCCCTTAGCGCCCACCTGGGTTCAAGCACAGCTCTCTGCCCCCATAACTGGCCATCCCCAGAAGGTGTCCTTGATCCTGCACGGCGCTGAGGGCCTGCGACACCCCACTGGTCCCCACGCCCACCCCACTCACCTGCAGGCTTAGACGTTCGCCTCCGGTCCCCCCCCCACGCTGCCCCCTGCTGGCCAGGCCCTGGACTGCAGCGTGGTGGCTCCATCCCAGCTCACCCCACCTGCCCCCAGCCAGGGCCCAGGACAGCGACTGCCCCAGCCCCCTTGTGGCCAGCTGGCCAGGGCAGCCAAGCCTATCTGAAGAGAGAGGCCTGATTTTTTAAAATGTGTTTATTTTAAAACATGAAACCCAAGCTGAATAGAAACCACAGAAATTACATGGAGATTTTTAGTATCTGCCAACAAAAATAAAGCCCCCCAAAGAAAAAAAACCAACCCTCAAAACCCAGTTAAAAAAAATAACAAAAAAAAAGACCACAGCGACAGCACAGATGACCACGGTCCTACGGAGCTGGAGGAGGCCCAGGTCAGGGCCTGGGGGGTGCTGAGTGGAGCCGGGCCTGTCACCCAGCCAGCCCTTGGCCCGCAGGACAGCCCCTCATGCACCCTCGTCCCCACACTACGGTGGGGTGGGGGGGCGTGCCCGGCCCCTCAGTGTGCTGCAGACTCCCCACAGCCTCCCCTCCCCCTCCAGACTGAGGGGCTGCAGGTGCAGGGGAGAGGACTGAGGGGAAGGCTGGGAAGGGGCCCCCAGGACTCAGAAGGGGGGGCAAGGGTGTACCCGCGGGCCGTGCATTCACATTGCGGGGCAGCCATTGTGCTTGTGGCTGGCGTGCCAGGCCGGAGACGGGGGCAGCCGTGCTGGGCTCAGCTGGAGGCTGGGGCCCGGGACACCCCAGCCAGCCCCTTTGCCTCCCCTCCGTGGTGCGGGCCGGTGGTGGCCCATTTGGTCCGGCAGGGAAGGGGAGCCGGGGGCCTGGTCCCCTGGGCGGGGCAGATATCCTGCAGGACGCTGGAAGCACCGTGGGGCCGAAGCCCTGCCCTGTCCCGCAGCCCACACAGACCCCGCTGTCCGCCGCCATCGCTGCCAGCTGGGAGCGCCCCGTCGGGCCTGGGGACACAGCGCCTGTCAGGGTGCAAAGGGGAGCGAAGGGACAGGCGGCCCGTGCCTGCCCTAAGGATGACAAAGGAGGTTAGTGCAAAGACAGCCGACACTGCCAGGCCTGCGGGGGCAGGGGGGAGGGGTGGGGTTTGGCACCAAGAAGGCGGCCAGCGGCCCAGGGCACTGCGGGGCACTGTGGGAGAGAGCGAGGCTGGAGGCTGGCAGGGCAGAGAAAGCGGTCGCCCCGGCTCCGGGTCCGGCTGCACGAAGCCTGTGGAGTGAGAATCACAGGGACGGGGCAGTGTGGGCCAGCGGGCTGCAGGCGGAAGCGGGCAGAGGGGCCGCGGGCTGACCACGGTCCGAGCGGCCGGCAGCAAGGAGGCCGGGGAGCGGCAGAGGAGCCCGTGGTGGAGCGTCCAGCGGTGGCGTGGGGAGACGGGGCGGTTGGCACGTGGGCGGGCGGGCGGGCGGCTGGCCGGCTAGTGGCCACTGCCACTGGAGTCGGGGCGCGGCTGGCTGGTGGCGAGGTATTTGGCTCTCATGCTGGAGGTGTACTGCGGGGAGAGGGCAGGGTCAGGCGGGCACAGGCAGGGCAGGGCTGCCAGGCCCAGCACACGTGGGGCACCTTCTCCAGCCAGGGGCTCACGTCCACCGGTCACCCGCAGCCAACCGGCCCGAAGTACTGCCCTCCTGGTCCTGCCTGCCAGTCTGGAGCTGCGCAGGATGGGGGGGGGGGGCAGAGGCCGGTGACCCCGTTGTCCCAAGAAGGTGAGGCCGCCCCACAGCTGCTCTGCCCGTCTCCAGGCTCGGGGGTCCCAGGCGGCTCCTCAGCCCCAGCTGAGGGGCCACTAAGCTACCTCAGGGACCCTGGCCCCCACATGCCAGCTGGTTCCAGAGGCCCCTTCGTGAGTGAGTCCCAGGGGAGAAGGCTGCGCGTGGAAACTGGGCGGGGCTGCAGCCCGAGACGGGCGGTGCTGGGGCCATGCTGGCAGGGACAGCTGGAGCCGCTGTGCTTGTCCGCACCCCGACATGCAGGGGAGGCCTCGAGGTCAGGCACGGAGGAGTGGGGTGGCAGGGGTGTGTCAGGAGGGGCCGGCGGCCTCCGAGGCAGCCCGCGGGCAGCGGCGTGGCAAGCACCGCGGGTCAGTACCTGTCGCTCTGAGGCCACCACCGCAGTCGGCCACTGTCCAGGGGCTGGAACTGCCAGCCCGAGTGTCGGGCAGAGTCCAGGGCCGCCAGGTAGCGCTGGAGGGCCCGGGGGAGGGGTGCAGGGGAGAGAGAGGGGGCCTCAACTCCAGGGAGCCCCGGCGAGGCTCCCGGTGCAGATGTGGGCTGGGCTGGGGCTCCCAGCTAGTGTGGCTTCTCAAGGACGCGGCCCAGCCCCGCAGGGAGGCAGGGGAGGGGCAGGGGGAGAGTGGTCAGGGCCTCCCCGGGCAGAATTGCAGGGCTGCGGCAGGAGGGCTGAAGGCCTCAGCCTGTCCACTATGGCAGACGCCCTCAGGCCCCGATGCAAACCGAAGTGACACCCCCCGCCCCGACCCGCGCCCTGAGACTCACCGAGGGCGGCGGAGACTCGCGCCCGATGAGGGGGGTGTTCTCACAGCGGGTGCTCTGGAAGTTGGCGTTCTGGCTCCTGCAAGTGAGGTGGGCAGTCACTCCTGCCCACAGAGACCACTGGGCAGACCCGGGCCCACCGCCGTGGAACTCAGGGCTCACTCCTGTCTCTGTGCTCGAGGCTGACTCCTGGCTCTGTGCATGGGGCAGACTCCCAGCTCTGTGCTCGGGGCTGACTCCCGGCTCTGTGCTCAGGGCTCACTCCTGGCAGATTCAGGGCACCATATGTGGTGCTAGGAATTGGCCCAGGTCAGCAGCATGCAGTCAGGCGCCCACCCTCTGGACCGTTTCTCCCTTTTCTACTGTTTGACCACGCGGAGCGAGGCCAGGGGTTACTCTTGGCGGTGCTTGGGGGACCCTCTTGGAGCTGGTGACCACACTTGGGTCAGCTGCGTGCGAGGCCAGTGCCTTCCCACCATGCTATCCTCTCCCTTTCTGTTGCCACTGTGTCATGACAACGCTGAGGGTTCTGAGTGACAGGAGCTGAGTGGCCCGGGACGGCCTGCCCTGCCGGACCCGGGGTCTGTGGAGTGACCTCGTGTGGGCCAGGGTTGGAGGCAGCCCTGGGTGTCTGTGGCTGCTGTGTCACTCACATGTACTCGGTGACGGGCGCGTTGCTGACAGTGTGGGCTGCGGCGGGGACGCTGGTCTCGCTGCCGTAGCTGCTCCCGCAGCTGTACAAACTCGGCATGTGCACGCGGTAGAGGCTGTCGTGTGCCCGCCGGGGGCCGGGTGCCGCCTCGTCCTCCCCGTCCTCGTCAGGGCCTCTGCGGGAGGGACCCCGGGGCTCAGCCGCCTCCCCGCCTTCCCACCCCGCGCTCCAGGCCGTCCTGCCAGCATAGGGCACACTCAGGGCTCTGCCACTGGGGAAACTGAGGACCAGTGAACTCAGGAAGTCCGGACCAGAATCCCAGCCAGGATGAGTGGTGCCTGGGGTCTTGGCCATGCCCCTGAGCTGCATCTGCGCCGCAGCCACCGTCACCACCGTCAACATAGTCACCAGCACCCACAGCAGCTGCAGCACTGTCACCACTAGCTTTACCATCACTATGTCACCACCATCACCGAAACCCCCAGCACCAACATCACCCCCACGACACCGTTGCGTCACCACAGCTTGAGCACCGCAGGACCGTCTCAGCGGGGAGGCGGGTGGGGGCCCTTGGGGAGAAGGGTCTCGCCCTGCACCCTAAGCAGCTCTGGGTCCCCACGATCCCGAGAGGCTGTGGGCTCGGTTTCCCCAGCACCTGTGAGTCAGGGCTACCCAGACCCCCAGCCAGACTGGGTCTCCCTCGGGCCCGCCCACGCCCCCCCACCCCACGAGCGCTCACCTCTTATGCGGCCAGGTGTGGGGGACGCTGCAGACGATGGAGCTGAACATGAGGGCCGTGACGAAAGAGAAGAGCGTCAGGTAGATGAGGCCCTCCACGCCGTCGTAGCAGAGGCCTGTGAGGGCCTGCACGTAGTCCTAGGGCAGGATACACAGGCTCAGCATCACCCTGCCCGCCCAGAGGAGACACGCTCTCACAGGTGCACTGTGCAGAGCCCCCTCAGATGTGCAGAGCCCCTCAGATGAGCTGCACAGAGCCCCCTCAGGTGAGTTGCACAGAGCCCCCTCAAGTGAGCTGCACAGAGCCCCTTCAGGTACACAGAGCCCCCTCAGGTGAGCTGCACAGAGCCCCCTCAGGTAAATAGAGCCCCTCAGGTGAGCAGAGCCCCTTAGGTGAATAGAGCAACCTCAGGTGAGTAGAGTCCCCTCAGGTGAGCTGTGCAGAGCTCCTTAGGTGCATAGAGCCCCTTCAGGTGAGCAGAGCCCCCTCAGGTGTGCAGAGTCCCCTCAAGTGAGCTGCGCAGAGCCCCTCAGGTGTGCGTCCTCACCAGGTGCAGGCTGCGGCAGTCCACCAGGGCCGTGAGGTGCTGCAGGTTGACCTCGGTGCCATTCAGCAGCTCCTGGACACGCAGCAGTGGGTCCTGGGGAACAGGCCATGCTGAGCCCCGGGTCCCCTGCGGACTCACTGCAGGGCTCTGCTTGTGGCCACAGGGACAACAGACTGTGTCTGTCGCCAGCTGGACGCGGGGGCTTGGGGCACGCTCTGCCACCCCGACTTGGGCCTTGGCAGGAGGGCAACGGGAGAGGCGAGGGACCTGCCACCAGCCCAGGACCCCTCTCACAGTTCTCAGCCCGGAGAGCCAGCTGCCCTGAGGAGAGGAGGAGCCGTGTGCGGGGCCAGGAGTGTGGAGGCTGGGAAGGGGGCAGGAGAGGGGGCGGGGGAGGGGCAGCTCACAGGGCACTGCTGGCCTCACCTTGGTGGAGGGGTTCTCCTTCGGGACTGTCCTCAGGAGCTCGGCCACCACGTCCTGCATCTCCACCAGGGCCTTGTGGCTGCCCGACAGCGTCTGCGCGAGGACAGGCACCCTGACTGCCCGGTCCGGATGCCCAGGGAGACTGGGAAGCCTGGGGCATCACACCTGGCCCCCAGTACAGTACGACACCTGCAGCTCGCAAGGGGAGGGAGCAAAGGGCCGAACTCACCTGCTGGAAGGGGTTGGCGGCACGCGGCGAGCAGGCCAGGTAGTACTGCAGGATGTCTGAGGGGAGAGCGGATGCAGGGGGTGTCGGGGGATGTATGTCCACATTAAACGCGACGCAGAAGTGGGGGGCTCAGGGGTAAGTCACTGCCTAGCCCCTGGGAGCAGGGGCCACCCCAGGGTCTGCAGACACTTGTGCCCTCGATACTAACACCAGGGCTTCCGACCTCTGCACTCTCGGGGACCCTCTGCACTGTGCAGGGTGGGGACCCCGAGCAGAGATCCCAAGCGGGAGGGCCAGGCCAGCCACAGCCAGGCCCTGCGAACACCCCTGCAGCTGCATTTGCTTGGCCGTCGCCTCAGTGTGACCGTAGAGGGGATGGAAGCACTCATGCCCTGCCTGGGGCTTACTTGGGCCAGGGCAGAACAGTTCCCATGGCCACTCGGTCCCCCTCTGCCTAAGGAACAGCTCCCCATGTCCACCCTGCAGTGGCCAGGCTCCCGCCACCCCCCCCCCCAACAGCCCAGCCTCCATGCCAGTGCTCACCCCCACTCAGCACCCCGTGCTCCTCCACCATGCGTGTTACATAGGTGTCGGGGTCCACGCAGAAGTCGCTGGAGCCCTGGAGAGCAGGAAGGCCAGCACTGACCACGTCTCAGGCCTGGCCATCCCGGCAGGTCCCCACCTAATGTTTCAGGGTGGCTGGGGAAGGGGAGGGGAGTGTGGCTCCCCCCAACTCACCACAGACGCGGCCAGCTCCAAGCCCAGCGTACCCCAGCTGATGATGAGGGCCAAGACCCCCAGCAGGCAGACCCTGGGTAAACAGAGCTGGTGAGGGGAGAGCCAGCACAGCCCCGAACTAGGCAGGTCTCACTTGGAGGCTGGGACCCTCTGGGTGCCCTCCACAGCCCAGCCGGTGGGGACCCCTTTCCTGGAGCCCGCCTGCCCCTGCCATTCAGTTGGCGTGGGGCAGAGGGAACCTCACAGCCACCCACTAACAGGCAGCATCCCCACACCCCTTCTCGGGGCAGAGCCGGCTCCACACCCAGCCTCCTGGGGCGCCTGCAGCCAGCTGGGGACTTGGCGGGGCTCTAGCTTGGCCCTGGGGAGCCCCAGGGGAGGGGACCCCACACTCACCCCACCAGAATGCCCTTGGAGCTACGGATGAGGCCGACGAGCACCAGCAAGCAGATGGCCACGTCCAGCAGCAGGATCCCCAGGTAGCCCAACCACCTGTGGACACAGGGTAGGGGCTGTGGGGGCGCAGGGGGGTAGGCGGTGCCGGGCACGGTGCTGGGTGGGGTCAGGTCTGTGGAGAGGGTTCTGGGGGGTCCTGGCTGCGGAGGGGGGGGGCGGGGGGCCAAACCTGTACCAGTCGTAGAGGTCCACGATCTCGGCCAGCGCCTCCAGCGACACTGAGGGGTTCTTCCAAAACGGGATGGCCGCCGTGTAGGCCAGCAGCTTCCCCAGCAGGCCCTGGAGCCGCTGGACGGCCCGCAGGGGCTCGGGGCGCGTGGCCAGCTGCCGCTCCAGGCTCTGCAGACTGGGCTCTGCCGAGCGGTTCAGGGCGGCCGCCGTGTCCCACACCTGGCAAGGCCGCGCGCGCGCGGGTGAGCAGGCCCGTGCCCGCAGCCCGGCCCCGGGCAGACCCCGGGCAGCCCCACCACCCCCACGGCCCCCCCCCCCGAGACCCGGGCCCACTCACGCGGTCCTGCACCCCCGCCACCGTGCGGTTGGCGTGACGCAGCGAGTACGTGGCCCGGTGGACGCCGTCGCTGGTCTCCCCATTGCCGTAGAAGCCCACGGCGATGCCCGCGCTGGACGGGGCAGGTCAAGTGAGGGCACAGCCCGGCTCCCGCGCCCCACACCGGCCAGACAGGTTCCCAATCTCCCGGATCCCCGCTGCGGGCCCCGGGGGCGGCGCCTCCGAGGCCCCGCCCCCAGCGCTCCTCCGCGGCCGCGGCCCCGCCCCCCGCTCCGGGCCCCGCCCCGCCCCCGCCCCCGCCCCGCCTCACCTGCACACCAGCGTGGCGATGATGACGCACCAGGCCGTGCAGCAGCAGTCCGCGTCCAGGTGCTCATCGCTCTTGCGCCGCCGGCAGCACAGCCAGAAGGAGTAGAAGAGCAGGAAGAGGAGATCCAGGGCGAGGCAGGCCAGCGCCGTGGCTCCCAGCAGCAGCAGTGCCTGCGGGTGGTGAACAGCAGCTGGTGATGTGGGAGACCCCCGGAGTGTGTCCTCAGCGCTGCTCTGGGTTGTTGGGTTTCCACGTGCAGGGCTGCTGCCCCACTGACCCCAATCTGACACCCCCCACCCCGCCCCCTCCCGCTGAGAACTAAGGGGAAGGGCCCAGGTCCCTGTGTGGAGGATGTGGGAGGCCCGGTGCCCCCACATGCAGCAGGCTGCATGCACTGGTGGGGGCGGACGCTCTCACGACCCGGCGGGGGCCATTCTGCCTGGGAAAGAGGCTCAGCTGCAGGCATCGGGCCTCAGACCCCAGCCGGTGAGAGGCCCATGCTCCCCTTCCTCCCAGTGGCCCCTCTGCACTCACGAACCCCCCACTTTCCAAATGGGGGGAGGGAGGGGGGAACTACCTGGCCAGCTCCTGCGGCCACGGCCCTGAACCACATGGAGTGTTGGTGGCAGAGACAGGAGACCGTGGGTGGGTTCCCCCCACCCAACACACACACGGAGAATGTTGGGGAGGTTCTGCCTGCACCTCTCCTTCAAGATGGGTGCCGCAGGACGAACGAACGTCACAGCCACCTGAGGGCTGGGATTACCAGGAAGGAGGGGTCAGAGACAGTCAGAGAGGGGTACCCATAGGGCCCCTGGCCGGCACCAGGTACCAGGGAACATAGGAGCACTAGGGCTGGCCTTCCTGACCCCCATGCTGCCTGCAGAGCCAGGCAGCCACCGAGTGTGGGGGTGGCCACTTGCCCTTGCAGTGCGGTGGCCCCTCGGGCGGTGATCCAGAGGGGCAGACACCACCAACCCTGCTGTCCCCTGGGCCTCAGAGACAACGCCTGGCAGACAGGAGGTGGAATGGGGTGCGGCCAGCCAGGGAGCACGCTGCCCACACAGAGCTCTAGGCCAGCATCCCCGCCTGGGTGGCGCCAGGACCACCCACTCCCACTCGCCAAATGAGAAACTGAGGCACAGTCAGATAAGTGTCAACCGTCAGGAGGTTCCAAAGCCCTGGGGGGTAGAGTGGGGAGGGGCCAAGAGTGCAGTGGGGTGAGCCAGGGCCTCCCCCAGGGCAGCTTGTTCCCTTGGAGTTCGGAGCCACACCCACAGGTGGCGCCCTCCCAGCAGTGCCTGGGGCCCTGCAGCCCTGAAGTTGTCTCCCCAGCCTGTGGCTCGGTTCTTGATGTTTTCTAAGCTTTTCGAAGCCACGAAGCTGAGCTAATTTAGAACAAGTACAAGCCCTCATCAACCATACACGCATGAGTGGGCGACAGGGGGCCCTGGGTCCCAGCTGCCCCCAGCCCAAGTGGCACTCTCCCATCCTGGACGGAGGCTGCGACTGCCGTCACGGGGCTGTACCAGCAGCTCCTAGCGCAGGGGACTTCCTGGGCCCCCTGCCCCACGTACACGTCCCCTGAGTCCCATGGACTGGGGCCCACATGCCCCCAGGAACTGCAGGCAGAACAGCGAGGCCACTGCCCGGCACCTGCGTCTCAGACTCATCAGCACCTGAGTGGACACGGCTGTCAGTCAGGGCAGCCCTCAAGCCCTGGTCCGTCCATCCCATCTGGTCCACTGCTGTGGCAAACGCGGGGCCCATACCCTGTGCAGAGAATAGAAGCTGGCACCCAAGAGGGGTACCCCAGGGTGGAAAGGCACCCGCAGGGGTGTGACAAGCAGGGCCCCAGTGCCCTCCCACCTGTCTGCACAGCTCCCAGAAGCTTCTGTGTGACAGCCCCTGGGAGAGTCATGACAGCCCCTGGGAGAGCGCAGACTCGAGTACCTCTAGAGGCTGGAGCGACTTTCTGGAAGAGGACAGTCCACCCTCCCCCCAGGGCCCAGGGCCCAGGGCTGCGCTAAGGGTGGCTCCAGGCCGGAAAGCACCTCTGTGCCCAGGGTTCCCCGTGCTTCCCAGCCCATCCAGAGGGAGAGCAGGAAGCGGCGCCGGATCTGGGCGCTGGCCAAGTGGAATTTTCCGTCTGGGATGGGAGTGATGTCAGTGCTTAGTCTGGGGAGACGAGAGGCCCGGGCCCACATGCTGACCCCTGGCCACCCGAGCACCAGTGGGCTCTGTGCAGGGCAGTGTGGCCACATGGTCCAGGGGCTGGGCCCAGGCACACCTCGAGGCCGGCGGCTGCTGTCCAGGCCTGGGCTTCCCTGTCTTCCGGGAGGCAAAGGCAGAACAGACTGGGTACCCTGTCCACTGGCCTCTGGAGAGGACCTCACAGGGCAGCTGCAGGCCATGGACAGTACCCCCAGACTCAGCGCAGCCTCCCGGATGTCGAGGAACCAGGCCCGCGGGCTCACCCAGGTGGCGACCTTGGCCTGGCTCCCTGTGTGGGTGGGGGGGGGCTGCAAGGCTCTGTTCTAAGCTGGTTGGCTGCAAGAGGGACCTCCCCCATCTCACAGAAGCCCAGGAACTGGTGTGGCTACGTCCCAGGGGTGGCCATCCCTGGCAGCTCGGGGGCAGGGCAGGGCGCAGTCCCAGCAGGCAGCAGAGATGCACCAGAAGCTGGCTCTGAGGTCAGGCATGGGGGCTTGTGGCCCCACAAAGGTGGGGGGGGGCCAAGGTCCCCCTCCCTGCCCGGCTACTTCCCCCTGTGGCAGGGGGTCTGCACCCAACACAGGTCCCGGGGCACCCCAAAGGCAGAAGGGTGCAGAGGGCCCAGCTGAGACTCAGCAGCGAGTCTCCTCCCGCCACTCTGGGTGGCCAGGGCGCTGGGCCTGGGTGCCTCAACTCCTTAGTTACCAGGGGATCCCCCAGCTGAGGGGCTTCAGCCCCTCCCCCCACCTACAGCCCTGGATCCTCGCCTCAGAGGCCCCCGCCGGAGCCTGCCCGACTCCTTGGAGAGGAAGGAGGAGCAGGCAAGGGGCTGGCCCACTGGTCCAGACCCCCACTGTGGGACAGCGCTGGGCTGTGGCAGGGCTCCAGACCCCCTGCAGGCCTGTGTGTGGGAGGGGAGGGGGGTCAGGGCTGGTCCTCACTCCCTTGGCTCTCTGAGGCAAGGTCAGAAGGAGCCTGTGGCAGCCCCTGGGGTGGGCGACGGTCAGTGCCGCCTACATGAACGCAGACACGTGAGTCAGACTCGGGCCCTGCGCCCGGCTCCCCGGAGCACCCCCACCCGGCCCCCACATGCACTCGCCACGTTTCACGGAGCTGCCATCTGCGGCCTCTGAAGCCCCACTGAGCCAGGGGGTCCACTGCGCAGCAGCCCCACGCCGGACCACCCGGACACCATGCCAGGCTGCCTGTCACGGCAGCACTTTCTCCTCCCCAGCCCAAGATGCTGACCCAGGGCTGATCCCCCGTCCCCCTCTCTCAGCAGTGCGTCTCCATGGAAACAGCCCAGCACTCAGCCACTGGCTGTCCAACCCGTGCCCCCCCCCAACCTGCCATGGGCAACAATGTCCTCCAGGAAGCTGGCGCTGCCCCCTAGCCCCCCCACCAGGCAACAGCGACTGGCCCCTTCCTGCCCCAGAATACAGGGAGAAGCTGCCCTCTGCCTGTGGACACGGTGTGGGGCTCCCCCGGTGAACCCCACAAACGGGCCAAGGTGACACGGAGAGGCACCCCTGACACCCACATGCCTGGCCCTCTCCTGGCGCTCCTGCCCTCAGTCAGTGGACGCAGCAGGGGGAGATGACCGCAAAGCAGGGCCCAGTCCTCAGGGTTCCACAGTGGGGTGCGGAGCACGGAGCCACCCCCACAGTCCCCCACAGCCGTCCTGCTGAAGGGCCAGCGGCATGCACGCAGGGCCTTGATCGCACAGCCCTGCAGGCCGAGGTGGCGGGGAGGCTGGCGGCTGCTTTCCACCCCGTGAATTATTCAGTGGCTCATTCTGCACCACGGAGGGGAGGCAGGAGGGGTGAGTCACAGATCTCCCACGGCGCAGGGGGAGCCTTCCCGGGGTCCCTGCAGGCGTCTCTGCAGGGTGGGGGCGGAGACTGGGGGCTCAGGACCTGCCAGCCACCCCCAGGCCACCACTGGGATCCCAGGGGAAGACCAGGCTGGAGGCGCTGGGCTGGGGGCAGCCAAGGGTAGTGGGCCTCTCCGCTGGGGGGCTGGGGGGGACTGCCTTAGCACTTCAGGAGGGACCAAACTTGCACAAGTGTGGTGCTCGGCTGCCCCTCCCCCACCGCCAGAAGTAGACTGGAAGTTCCTCTGAGGGTTGGGGTCACCCCCACACGGGGGTCCTGGGGGCCTGGGGCTGAAGCAGGTGGGTGCCTGGCATGATCAGTCCTATTTCTGGGCCGGCTTGTGCCCCCAATGACCCCCTTTCTAGAAACAGGTCAGCTGGCTCTGAGGAGGGGGCCCAGGTGGGACCAGCGGGGCTGGGAGAATGGACAGCTGGATTCCCAGATTCCCAGAGTCCAGTCCTAGAAGGAGAGACCAGAACCCGTCAGGGGCTTAGCATCCGGCCCGGTAGGAAGGAAATGCCCACAGCCCAGTAGAGCCACCCTGTCTCTGCCCTGGGAGGGGGTTACTGGGGCCCCTGGGAACGGGACCACAAAGGTCCACTGCGCATCCCCGCTGCCCAGGCTCTGCCCCTGGCCGGCCTCCCACGCGGATGCCCACCTGTGCGCTGGCCACGGCCATCCCCCTCTCACAGGTCCAGGGGCTGGCACGTGCCCAGACCCCTCGCCCCTCCCCCGCCGCCCGCGCTGTCAGGCCGGGAGGGCCCTCGGGTGCCCGGCAGGCTGACAGCTGGCCCGGGGGCGCGGAGGGGGCGGGGCCTGACGCCCCCGGAGCGGGGGGCTCTGAGCCCAGGGCGGGTCCGCCGCAGGGCGGGGCGGCTCCGGACCCCGGGGAAGGGGGACCCCCGAGGTGGGAGGGCCCGGGGAGGGTCCCGACCCCGCGGCACCTGCTGGTAGTCGGCGTCCTCGGGCCGGAAGAGGTTACCGGTGGGCTCCCCGCGCAGGTCCAGGTGCGGCAGCCGGTGCAGGAGGCTCGCCCACCAGGGCGCCGCGTAGCCCACCCCGGCCATGGCCGCGCCGCGCTCGCCCACCGGACGCGGCTCAGCGGCCCCGCGCGCCCCGCACGGCCGCCCGCATCGTCCGCGCGCTCCTGGGCCCGGCCCGGCTCGGCTCGGTCCGGCTCGGCCCGGCTCGGCCGCGCTCGGCTCCGCTCGGCCGCCCGCGCCCGCCGCCTCTTTGTTCGCCGCCGCCGACGCCGCCGCCGCCCCCCGCGCGCCCCCGCGCGTCGCCCTCAGGTCCGCCCCCGCGCCGCCATTGGTCCGCGGCCTCGGCCCCGCCCCCGGAACGCCCCGCGCCCCGCCTGGGCCCCGCCCCCGCGCTGCCATTGGCCTGCGGAGGTAGCCCCGCCCCCGGAACGCCCCGGGCCCCGCCCGGGCCCGGTCCTCGAGCGACACTATTGGCTCATGGTCGAAGTCCCGCCCCCGGAACGCCCCGCGCGTCGACCTCGGACTCGCTCCCGCGCTACTATTGGCCCACGGCCGCAGCCTCGCCCCCGGAACGCCCTGCGCCCCGCCCGGGCCCCGTCCTCGCGCGCTACCATTGGCTATTCACGGTCACGTCCCCAGAACGCCCCGTGCTCGGACCCCGCGAAGTCACTGGCCGGCCGCGCGTCGTACCCGTACTCCCCGTTCGCCCCCGCCCCGCCTCGCGCAGGCTCCGGCCCGCGCGCCCCGCCTCCCACCCCGCCCCTCTCCTCGCGGCCCGTTTAGGCCCCGCCCCCGGACTGCTATTGGCGAGCTAGCAGAGGCCCCGCCTCCTGGGGCGGGGCTAAGGCCTCGCCAGGTGAGCCGGGGGCACGTGCCGAGCGCTGGCATATCGGTTCCCGGGCCCGGCTGTTCTCTGCCACTCGGGGTGATGCAGCCCAGATGCGAGTCTGGGGGTTGCAGAACGCCTTTGGGCCCATTGAAATGGAGCGAGGGGCCGACCTGCAGCCCTTGCTTGCCCAGGGTTTGTCCCTCTCCTGGTTCTGAGAAAAGGTCCCTCCCGGCTCCCCATCCCTGTCCTCGTCCTGCGTGGACAGACAGGCTGCCCAGGAGGCCAGGCAGCCCCGAGGGTCCGACAGTGCCCCCCCCCCCAGCTGACACCAGATCTGCAGATGGGTCTTGGCAAAGCCGGGAGGCCACCCAGACGGCACAGACACCTCCCTGATCACTCCAGGGGGCCTGTGACTGCCCTCTAGGCCAGAGTGACCCCCCACCTCCTGAAAAGATGGTGCATTCTCCTCCAGGGCGAGGAAGCCCCCAGATGCTGCATCTCTGCAAGGTCCATTCCAACCTGACCCCACCACCCTCCCAGCGACAGAACCCGGGGCGGGCCATGTGCAAGGCTGTCCTATCACCCCAGACCTGTGTATAATAAACATTCAAACAATGGCCTGGTATGTAGTGCCGGGTTTCCCCTGAGAGCCACCAGGAGTGATTCCTGAGCGCAGAGCCAGGAGTATGCACTGAGTCCTGTGGGTGTGGCCCCAAACAAAACTGAACAAAAGTGGCAGCAGGCCTGGAAAGGTCCCCAGGGCCCTGGGCGGCGGTGTCCAGCCGCACTTGCTCTGAGCCGGGGGCGCTGCTGCCCCAGCCATGGATGGGGTCCCAGCGGGAGCAGAGGCTGCTGGCCTATCCTGTCTCTTCACCCTGGCTCCACGTGGTGTGGCTTACAGTCCCTGGCCTGGAGAGGGCCAGGCTGTTGGACGCTGAGCAGCGGGGCCTGATCTTGAGTCCTGGAACTGTCCTCCACACTCCCCCCCCTTGCCACGGCCCCTATGCCGGGCTGATAAACTGCAGGCTGTAGCAGCCACTTCCCCTTCCGCTTCCGCTTCCCTCCTCCTGTGTCTCCACCCCCAGACCTCGCCTCTGCCACCTCTGCCTTGGTGGGGAGTGGGGGGGATGTTGCCACTGCCCCTGACCCCCACCCACCCCCGAATGCTGCTTCAGAGCCAGGCACAGACTTTGTTCCTTCACACACATGGCCTGTCTCACGTGGGGGCGGGGGTGTCTGGAACCCCTCCTCAGAGTGCAGCATCCTCCTGGCCATACCCTGGCTTTAAGCTCAGCGGTGCCTCCCCGGAGGCCCCAAGCTGACCAGACTGTGCCCTTTGCCCAGAGCTGCTCACTGACCTCCCGGAAGCTGCTCCCGAAGGTCCCTCCCTGGTTTCCCTCCGGGCTAAGGTCAAAGTCACCCCGTGCACCGCTGCACCTAGACCCCAGCTCCCCCGTAGCATGCAGGTGGGGCCAGGACCGGAGATGTTTGGAATCGAGGTCACGATCCCTGCGTTTCCAGGGGATCCTGGGTGGGTGCTCCATGCTGGGACCCTCACTTCAGTGGGCCCAGCTGGCTCTGTATGTCCCCGGCTTCCCCAGAACCCTGGGATGGGCCAGGCGGGGAGCGTTCAGGCCTCCACCCCCTACTGGCTGGGAGCCAGGCCAGGCTGGGGCCCGGTCCCCTTCCCTCTGCCTGCGCCCAGTCCTGGAGATGGGGAGCCGCCTCCCTCCTCAGAAATGCAAATCCCCGAAGCAAGGCGCCTGGGCTCCCACGCTCCCTCCAGCTTGACAAACGCCCCCTTGGCTCCTGCTCCCCAGCCTGAGTCTGGCCGCCTTCCTGGGGAGGGGCCTGGGCCCCTGCAGCCTGGGGCGGGGCAAGAGCCTGGACGCTGTGTCCAGCGCCGTCCCCCCCTCCCCCGTGGGAAGGCTGAGACGTGCAGGGGATGCTCTGTGGGCCTGGCGCTGGTGTCTATGGGGGGCAGTTTTTGTCTGAGTGTGTGGGCCGGAAGGGTCTTCGTGGGCGGGGGTCAGCGGGGAGGGGGTGTTGCCTCGAGACAGGCCCTGGTGTGGGGGGGACAGGGGGGACTGGGAGGTGGGACTGGCCCTTCCCCGGAGATTCCTGCTTTCTCCTTGGCAACCTCACAGCTTGCCCGACTTCCCAGGCTGTTGCTGGGTGTGCGGATTCTGTTCTGTCCAATGAAACACAGTGATGGACCCTCCACCCTCTCGGCTGGCTGGAATGTGTGCTGTGGTTGTTGGCGCTTAGGCAGCTGTTTGGGGCCACAGTGGCCCACGGTCAGCAAGTCTGTAGCAACAATGAAACCGCGAGTCTCTGGGAGTGAGCAGTAGTCTCCGCAGAAATCTAGGAGTGTCGGACTCCTTTGGGCGTTTCTCGGGGGGTGTTTTTGTCTGGAACCTACACAGTGGTGCTGGGGGGTGCCTCAGGGGCACTTCTGAGTCTGTGCTGGGAATTACTCCCACTCTTGGTGCTTGAGGAGTCATGGAGTGACCTGAGCAAGGCATGGGCCCCAACCGGGTCTGGGGAAATCTGGGGTCACGGCCAGTGGTGCTGAGGCCATCTCGGCAGTGTCTGGGGACCAGCACCTCCATCTCTGCTTTCCTCCCGCCGTTTGGTGTTCTTCCACTCACCCGGAGCCTCACAGCCCTATGCTGAGCCTGGCGGTGGGCGGGGGGGGGGGGGGGGATGCTGGGGTCCTGGCTTCCCCTGAGTCTCTGGGTGAGGTCCCGGGAGAGGCTCCCCGGGAGCCTGAGAACCCAGAGAGGGGCACTCACCACCCTTTTCCTTTTGGGGTTGTGGGCTGGACCCTCCTCTCTGCCATCAAGCACATGGCTTCCCACCGGTGGGGCTGTGCTGGGGAGGGAGGTGGTCCAGGCAGGACCAAGGACTGGTCCAGACAGCGCGGGAAGTGTCTTTAGCATCTGTCTCACCCTGGGGCAATGCTCCTGCCCTACACCTGGTACCATACAGGGCACAGCGGGGCATGACCCGGGGCCGGTTTCTTAAGACCGGAGATGCAGAACTGCCCTGGGCACGTGCCAGGTGGGGACTGGCTGGGAGACGAGTGGCAGGATCGCAGGCGGCTGTGGGGATGAGGGAACTTTATTCACGTGGCCCAGGAGGGGTGGCAAGGGCAGAGTGCTGCAGTGAGGGAGGGCAGGTTGCCTCTGCTCAGGAGTGACCTCGCGCCCGGTCTTCTGGCTACCTGCACCCGTGAGGCCTGGGTCAGGGGGTCACTGTCTTGGACTGGGTCCTGCCCAGACTCTGAGCTTGGGGGGAGCAGGGCTAGCAAGGGGCGCTCTCTGCCAGGGCAGGGCAGAGGTGAGACCCTCTTCTTCATGCACATGAGACCTATCGAAGTTGATGACGACGACTCCATCCAGATCGCTTCAGTCTGGCTGCCTCGCCGGCTCCCTGGTGGGGGTCTGTGCCTCGTCCCTCCCTCCAGCCTGTCCTGCAGTGACCTGCGGTACTTGGCCACCACCCCCCTCCCCCCAACAAAGCCCAGGGCCCCTCCTCAGCTGCAGGGAGGATGCAGGAACCGTGGGCTTGGTGGCCGGCATCTTCGGTGACGGCCCTGCACTGCCACCTGGGCTCCTGTACATGAAGCAGCACCGTGAGGCCGCTCCCGACCCGGCAGGCCGTCAGGCACGCAGCTCTGTGGGTGCCACGCCTGCTCCTTCATCTGGGAGGAGAGAGGACAGTCTCAGGGCCAGGCCCCTGCTCCGCTCCCCCCATCCCCCAGAACGAGGTGGACCTCTCTGGCCACCACTCGCGGGGATGCCAGGGGCCTGGTCCGGCCGGGCTGGCTCGGGGGCATGTGCCGACAGGAGGGGAGACAGTCGGGGGACACAGGCCCAAGGCTGGGCAGCCTGCCGTTCGGAAGGTGGCCGGGAGACTTTGGTTTTTCTCGAACAACTCGGCGGGGCCCGAGAGCAGAGCAGACACACGCAGAGACCACGCACGGCGCAAGGGAGCGACGACAGACAGACCGGTGCAGACCTCACCACACCCAGACCATGAGTACACACGAGGCTGCGTGCACAAGGCGGGCACACACGGACTGAGGCCAGGATGCACACACACTTCTCAGGGACATATTCTGGAGCGGAAGTGCAGGGCAGAGGGAACCGCGTTGTCCAGTTCAGACGGTTCTCATGGCACCCCCGAAGCCACAGCTCCCGCTGCCAGGCTAGGGGAATGGGCCCGCCCTGCTCCAGAGTTCCAAGCAAACGTGCTACTCCTTTTAATCCAGATTCAAAGGAATTTATTCCCATCACTCTGCAGTGCTAGGAGCGGCACCTGGCTCACATAAGAGCAAGGCCGGCACCCCCAGCCTTGTGATCCAGACTTCAGAGACTTGATCTACCCCACGACAAACCCTACCGGCCTCCTGGGCAGCACGGGGAGGGGGGAGCAGAGAGGAAGGTCCACTGGGGGGGTGGGTACGCGAGGGAGGTTGGTGCGGGGAGTGAGGCCCAGGGTCCACCTGGGGTTGGCGTGGGTCGCCCCCGCTGCGTCGCCCATGGTCGCCCAGAGGGGCCGCGCGGTGAGGGGCAGGTCTGGGGCTGTGGGGCCAGGCAGGGGCTGGGCGGCCACCCTGTTCTCCCAGGCCCTGACCCCAGGAGAAAGGGGGTCTTCAGATGCCCCTCCGCCTGGGCCCTGACACTTGACCCGAGGCCAGAACAAAGGCTCTGGGGGTTCTTTGACCCAAATGAGCAGAAAGCAAGAGAAAATCCGCAGACGCGCGGCGGAACTGAGTCCTGTTCTTCTCTTCCCGAATCACGCCAGTGCATCTCTGTGCCTCGGCCCGAGGGGGCGCCGGCGGGGCTAGGCCAGGGCGGTGGTCTTCGTTCTGGGCACCGAGGGCGGCATCACCACCTCGTCTGAGTCGTCGGAGCTGCTATTGTCTGAGGGTGCGGGCCAGCCTGAGAGGAAGCAGAAGGCTCACTCGGGGCGCAGAGGTCCGGGTGGCTGGCTTCTCTCGTGTGAGGGGGGTCGGGGGGGGGGGCTCTGGGCTTTCCTGAGGTGCTGCGCGAGCTCCCTCATGGGGCAGAGCCGAGGGAGTGTGACCAATGCTGTGCCAAGGCACCCTGCCCCCCGCCCCTGCACGGCGCAGAGCAGACCCCCTCCCCCGCACACCTGGGCCGGGGCAGCCGGGCCAGTTCCCCTCCAGGTTATTCACCATGGCCAACGCCCCAGGGCCAAGGGCTGTCAGCCCCAGGGCAGCCCGATCAGGCGCTGCCCTCCACCCGTGACCCGTGACAGGTCACATGGAGCAGGTCTACGAGAGCATCCTTGTCACAGCGAACCAGGTGGCAGGCAGGGCTCGGTGTAGGGCTGCCCCATGTGTCTTGGCCGGGGACTTTGCTCCCTGCTGCCTAGAGCAGGAGTGGACCCGAGGAGTGGACCCAAGGTCAAAGATCCCCCAGCAAGAGCCACTCTAGAGAGGAGCCCCAGGTGCGTGCCACTCACCGGGACAGGATGAGGCTCTCACCATCTCGCCACTGCTCACTTCGCCGTCCTTACCTGTAGGGACACGGGAAGCACAGAGGCTGCTGTGGGCGGTGTCCCCACCACCCTGTGGCCAAGTGGCCTGGGCAGTCTCCCTCCGCACAGCTGAGGCGCCGGGGGGCACGTCCACACCACAGATGTGGGGACAGGGTCATGGGGGAGGGTGTGGCTTGGGTCAGGCTTTCCAGGGAGGACCCCCACCGTGAAGACTGGCCCCGACTGTAGCCTGCCAAGCTCGCTGTCCTGTCCTGTCCTGGCTGCCAGGGACAGAGCTGGGCGGTGCCTGCAAGCCTCCCGCAGCTCCTGGCCCACACCCGGGGGGCTGGCCACGGGGGGACAGAGAGGGGCTCACCAGCATCCTGGAGGCCGGCCAGGGGGAGCTCCGGGGCTGCAGCTGTGGCAGGCCTCCTCTGGGGCGCGCTGGGGACAGCCCCCGAGCTGGTAGTGCTGTGGGGGGAAGCGTCTCCTGAATCACAGCTCCCCCCGTGAGGTGATGCGGACCACCCCCTCCCAAGGGCTTAGGGGCCCGCGCCTACCTGCGCGGAGAGGGTGGGGGTCCGACCCGAGCCAGGTGTGCCCGCAGGACGGACTGGATGATGATCACAGCCTCCTCCTGGTCCTGATCCTGGGGGCTCTGCGGGAGACAGCAGGCGCCTCCTTGGGGCCTGTTCTGCAGCCCACCATGATGGCACCGAGGCGGCGCTGTCGCTACGCCATGGGCAGGGCACGGTTGGGACAGGGGGACGCTGGGCCTGGGTGCCTGCGTGGCGAGCAGGCAGGGGTGGTCACCTTGTTGGGGCGGTGCGGTGAGCTGGTGCGCTGGGGTAGGGTGGTGCCGGCAAGCAGGTTTGTGCGCGCGAGGTGCCCCCGGAAAGCTGCCTGCAGCACCACTGCCGCCTGCAGGGAGGAGGAGGCAGGGGAGCTCAGGGGGGAACCTGCAACAGCAAGCACCCACAGGCCCGGAGTGAGTCGGCCAGGTGTGGACCCGCAGGAGACCAGTGTGGGATAGAAGGAGACGGAAACGTCCCAGCCGGGCTGCTCGGTGCCCGGCCCACGGCATGCTGGACTCGCAACCGGTCCAAACCAGGGGCTCGGCGGGCACAGCGACCTTCCCGGGAGTCACACGCGAGGGCTCCAGGGCGACCCCTGTCCTCCCCGGGCCTCTCTTCTTTGGGGGCAACCCAGGGCCTTGCTGAGAGGGGGCGAGGCCTGCTGTGGGGACCCCCTTTCTCCCAGCACATGTGGGCGGGGGCTGGGCCTGGAAGCGAGGGGAGGCTGCAGCTCCCACCAGAAGCCCCGGGTGGGGGCAAACGCCATGTAGCAGATGGGTGACGTCGGGGCAGCACCCGAGCCCCAGTGTCTCCCAAGTGAGCAGGGAAGGTTCCAGAGGGGCTGTGTCTGCAGCGGGAGGCTGGGGATCGGGTGTGAGTGAGCTTGTGCATGCTCACAGGAGTGAGGCTGCTGTGTGGCTTTGACTTGGGGGGGCTGCTCCTGGCTCTGTGCCGAGGGGAGCCTCAGTGCTGCACAAGGGCCCAAGTGTGGAAGAGTGCAACCGGCAATTTTCACGCACAAAAGGCGCCCTCTGGTGGCTCCTGGGGAGAGGCCAGCCCAGGGGCCTGCACCTCTGCATTTCCCCGGGGCCTCGGTCAGGAGTGGGGGGACCCAAGTTGGCCGGGGCCTCTGGGGCGCGCGAGAGCCAGCCCACGGTGTCCAAGAAGGCGTGAGAGTGGCGCCATCTGCTCACCTGGTCCGCGAGGGTCTGTCTGTCCTGAAACAGAGGTGAGTCTATTACCAGGGTGGCTCCTGACCCAGCTCAGCTCCGTCAGCAGGACGGGAACGCAGAGCAGGGCGCGGGGCACCCACCTGACGAGCACCCCGGTGGCCTTGCGGGAGGCTTCCCGGAGACGCTGCTCAGACCGGCCCAACCTCTGCCTGCCACACGTGCATGTATGTGTGCGTCTGCATGCGTGGGCTGCACCTCTTACTGCCCCCTTGAATCCCAGGGTCTGTGCAGGCCAGTGTGTGGGGGCTGGGGGTCCACCTCCTGTCTGGGGGGGGGGGGGCTGGGACCCACCTCATGTCTGTGGGCCTTCCAGTGGGCCTGAAGGGTCCTGGCAGCCGCATCCCGCCGGCCCTCGGCACAGCAGGAGGGAGGCCGAGATGAGGCGCTGGGCCCAGGGTTGGCTGCGCCGGGCAGAGAAGGTGCACGGGGCTCTCCCGGGGCCTGGAGGAGGAAGGGGAGAGGCTGGCGGGCAGGCCAGGCCTGGGAGCTCCACACTGGGCCACGGGGTACGTGCGGGGGCCCGACAGCTCAGCGACCGGGTCCATGCGTCTGGGGGTACCCCTGGGGTCAGGACTGTCATGGGGTTGGGGACCCTCTGCTTGGGAGCCCCATGGGGCCCACTACTGCTGGGCGCCGCCTTGTCCCCTGACTGTGCCCGTGGCTCCCACTCAGCATGACACTGCGCCCCTAAGCAGCGGGGACAGACCACCGGGAGAGGCCACATTCTGCTCTGGGCGGGCACAGTCCCTGCTACCAATCTGCTTCCTGGGACGCCCTGATGACCCCTTCTTGGCAGGGCCCTGAATGCGCCTGATGAAGGGCTTCTCAGCCATGGGCAATACCCCGCCACGGGGGCAGGGCGAGAGGAGGCCGTTCTGCAGGGCAGATGGTGGCCGTGTGCTGGGGTCGGGCGCTCTGCCTGGCCCTGCCTGACCCCATCAGTGGAGACCTGATGGACCCATGTATGTGCCTGTCAGCCGTGGGGCCTTGGTCCCAGGGACAAGTACGTAACATGTACACAGCGGAGCTGAGCTGTGAGAAGGGGGCCGAACTGTCCAGGATCCCCACAGCAATATTCGCCAAACGGACCCACTTGTTCCTGATTTGGGGTAGCCCCCCGCCCGGTACCTCAGGAGGTTCCCACAGACCCCTCATGCCCCTCCGTGCCCGCTGGTACCTCAGGAGACCCCTCCAGACGCTCCTCGTGCCCTGCTGTGACCGTTTCCTGCAGCGCCTGGACCTTCCTGAGAAGCGTCTGCACTTCCCGTCTGGAGGAGAGAAGAGATGCAGCTGAGACCTGGGCAGCACTACTGCCCACTGCATGGACAGCAGACGGGACAGTAGGGGGGATGGAAAGACAGGAAGAGGGGACTCTGCCCTCCCCAGACCCCACTGGAGACTGGCTGCCTATCCTGAGACCGAGTCCTAGTCAGCTCAGCCTTATGCTCATGTGTCCAACCTGCATTTGGTCACATTTTTATACATAAATCCCTGTACCCTTAAATTCACTTGTGTATTTATTTACTTTTTGCTTTTTGGGTCACACCCAGCGATGCTCAGGGGTTATTCCTGGCTCTGCACTCAGGAATTACTCCTGGCGGTGCTTGGGGGATCATATGGGATGCCAGGGATCGAACCCAGGTTGGCTGCATGCAAGGCAAACGCCCTACCTGCTGTGCTATAGTTTTGGCCCCTCACTTGTGTATTTTAGAGTCAAGTTTTTTTTGGGTTACTTTTTGGTTTTTGGGTCACACCCAGTGATGCTTAGGGGTCTCTCTTGGCTCTGCACTCAGAAATCACTCCTGGTGGTGCTCGAGGGACCATATGGGATGCCAGGGATCCAACCCGGGTGGGCCGAGTGCATGGCAAAGGGCCTCCCGCTGTGCCGTGGGCTGCGTCTGCACTGTCGCGGGAGCCTCACCTCAGAGCCTGCTCCTGCCGTGTGCTCTCGGGCTCACTGCCCCTCAGGGCATCCAGCTCCCTCTGCAGGTCCGCCTTGGTCTGCAGCAGCTGCCGCACCTCCCCGCTGGACACGGACACAAGCCAGGTCAGCTGAGCAGGGCAGGTGCTGGGCACGCCAGGTGCCTCTAGCCAACTGCTCTGGGCCCCCGTGAGCTCCCTGCCTCGGGGACCCCCTTCTCCGGCACCTCGAGTGCCAGCAGAGGCCCGTGCCCTGGGAGGCCCTCATATGTCTAGCGCGGTCTGTTCCAGATGGCACCACGGTGGCCCACGGCCAGGGAGGCAGAGCTCTGCAAGGCCAGGGGCTCCTGGGACACGTGGGTCCAGGCCTCACCACTCTGACCACACCCAGGGAAGGCATCACATTTGTGAGCGTGGGGCGTTCCCAGACCTCCAGGAAACACCTGGGCTCGCTGCCGTGGGGCAGATGCAGCTGCATGTCGGTGGCCAACGGAATGTGTCTGGCACAGGCCGATGTCAGGGTGGAGAGCCGCCTGCAGGTCTGCAGTCACATGGCCTGAGGCCCAGCCCAGGGCGACCTTTCTCCAGACCAGGCTTTGAAAAACCCTCCGGATTCAAGGGCCCAGTCCCGCCTCCCTCCCGCGGAGCTGTCCAGCGGGCCTCACGCACTCCTTCTCCAGCAGCTGGCTCTGCAGGGCGCTGCGCTCACTCCGCAGGCTCTTCACGGCACTGCGCAGACGCTCTGTCTCCTCGGGCTGCCTGTGTGCAGTGGGGCTGGAGGCCGAAGTTGCCCGCGAGTCAGGCGCGTGGGACTTGGACGCTTCCACTGGACTTAACTTCTGGAGGCCGCACAGATGGGTTAGGTGTGTTGGCTGCTATTGCACGCCACGCAGGAAGCCCGGGACAGAGACCACAGCTGGCAGCGCGTGTGTGCATGTGCGTATGTGCACGTGTGTGTGTATGTGTGTGTGTGTGTGTGTGTGTGTGCGCGCGCGTGCATGTCCAGTGGTCTGGCAGGCTGGCTCTGGGTTCTAGTTCTGGAGTAACCGGAGGGGGCAGAGCCCGGGCAGTGTGAGGGCAGGTGACTGGACACCCTTTCTTGGGCTGCCTCCCATGTGCTGCCAGGCCCCACGCCAACGACGCTGACCTGGCTGTAGGCTGGAGAACGGGGAAGGGACAGCCACCTGGGAGCGGCCCAGAGGCCCAGCTGGGGAGGGGCGTGGGGGTGGACAGAGGAAAACACTGAATCTCGAACGTTCTGCCCGCAGGGGCCTCACCTTCTCCAGCTCGGCGATGCGTCTCAGCAGCCGGGGCTTGCTCCACTCCACGTAGCCTGAGGGGAGGCCAGGGAGGGCGCTTAGACACGCCGGCTCCCCTCTGGCCTGCCCTCACCCCGAGAGCCCACGTGCAGTTGCAGAACCACTGTCCCGGCCTCAGCGTCATCCCTGCCTGTCCCCAGCGCGCACCCTTGGCCCTGCAGATGGTGGGGGAGCTGCTGAGCAGGCGGTCCAGGTCCTCCTTCAGGCTCTGGTTCTCCTCGGTTAGCTCCCGCACGCTCCGAGACAGGCTCAGCAGCGCGGTCCCCGCCTTCTTCTGCCTCCTGAGACCGGCCTTCTTCTCGCCGGGCAGCCTGGGTGGAGCACGCGGTCAGCCACCCGCGGGAGCCCCGAGCCCACCATGGGGACAAACCTCTGCCCCGGGAGCCGTGGACCCAGATGCCGCAGGCGGGAGTGGCCACAACACGCGGTCACAGTGGGCGCCCCGCTCTGCACTGTACACCCCCGCCATCAGCCTGCCAGGCTCTGCCCTGCGCCCAGGGACGCGACCATAGCAGAGGGCCACGGGGGCCACGGTGGGTCTGAGTGCAGAATGCTGGGCACGGTCGCCAGGGGCCAAAGGGGACGACCCCAACCTCCCACAGACACGACCTTGAAATGCTCTGCGGCAGTCGCTGAGCTGTGGCCCCCCAGTGCTATCCTCTCTTGGACCACCTGGGCTGGACGGTGACCCCAGGAACCTGGCACACCCGGACCCCGCACCCTGACTGCACACCACAGACATGAGGCACGTACTTCCGTCCCGTCGTGTCAGAGCTTGCCAGCAGAGTCTGGAGACGGTGAATCTGCAAAGGCCACCGGCCGTGTGTCAGAGCGAGCGGAGGGCACACTATCCCCCCCCGCCCCGCTGCGAGAGCTGCCTGCCGTGGGCACACCTCTTCGTAGTACGTCTCCATGGCGACCCGCATCTCCTCCAGGTTGGTGGTCTTCATGTCACTCTGCAGTTTGCTAGGAGCCAAGGCCAGGGTTGGTAGGCAGGGATGGGACTTGCAGCCGGAGCCTGGTGCGGGCACTCCCCCACCCACCCCAGCGGATCACTCTGTAGGGTCCCTCCCGCTTCAGGCTTGCCCACCTGAGGGTGGGACGTCACCCCATGGCCCGGACGGGGAACGTTCTCTGAGGGTGTGGGAAGGGAAGGCGTGGCTGGAGCGCCCCCCCCCCCCCCCCCCCCCCCGGCTCTTGGCCCACCTGATGGTGCTGTCCTTGTCCTTGCACTGCTGCTCCAGCTTGAGGATCCGCTGCTTCAGCCCGTTGATGACCTGCCGGGGAACCAGCCTGTCCACACCCCGCGCCTCGCAGGGCCTTTTCCTCCCCCCCCCGCGCCCCCCAGCCTAAGCAAGCACTGGTTGAACTGGACCGAGGGTCACTGGGGGCACCGATTTTCCTGCAAATGAGTGGTGAAGGCATCCCCTTGGACCTGTGCTTCCCAGGGCAGCTCTGCCTGCGGGCGCCTGCCCTTCCCGCACACCGCCTGCGCCCTACCCAAGGCTACCCCTAGCTGCTCGCCCGCACTCCCTGCCCCGCGCCGTCCACCGGGCCTGCACAGACGCAGGCGCTGACTCATATTCTCCACAATGACGGCAGCTGCAGCACAGTCCCACAGAGACTGGCAAGCCCTCCTCTGTGAGTGGACGGGGAGAGTGGAGTTCAGTCCTTCCCCCAGGCTCCTCAGAGGCTCAGCTTGGTGACCCGCAGAGCCTCCTGCAGGATTCTACCTTCCTGAGCTTTATTTGGATTTGCTTGGTGTTTGGGCCACCCCCAGCAGTGCTCCGGGATCTTATGTGGTGCAGGGGAATGAACCCAGGTCAGCTCATGCAAGGCAAGTGCTCCTGATCTCACACGGCACACTGTGCTATGTCTCCACCCTCAACTTTAACTTTTTTTTTGGGGGTCACACCCAGTGATGCACAGGGGTACTCCTGGCGGTGCTCAGGGGACCATATGGGATGCTGGGAATCGAACCCGGGTCGGCAGTGTGCAAGGCCAACGCCCTACCCGCTGTGCTATCTCTCCAGCCCCGTCAACTTTAACAAGTTTTATAAATCGAGCATGGGGCTGGAGAGATAGCACAGCAGGTAGGGCGTTGGCCTTGCACGCTGCCGACCCGGGTTCGATTCCCAGCATCCCATATGGTCTCCTGAGCACCGCCAGGAGTAACCCCTGTGCATCTCGCCGGGTGTGACCCAAAAAGCAAAAAAAAAAAAAATAAAAATCTGAGCATAATGGGCCAGATAGCACCGGATTAAGGTACTTGCCACACAGTTCCCACCTTGCAAGTGACCCCTAAGGAGAGCCAGGAGCCAGGAGGTGCCCCTGAGCACAGACAGGTATGGCCTCCAAACGCCCCACAAACCTGGAGATGCACTGACTCCTACAGGGGCGTGCTTGGCACCATCTCCCCCAGCACAGCAGCTGCGCAGGCCAGGCTGGAAGGAACCCTGGCTCCAAGACGGCCAGCCCGCATGGCTGTCCTCCCTGCCATCTGTGTTCCTGGCATGGGGGAGTCCCCCAAGTCCCGGGGGAGAGGCCCCGGCAGCCACTCACCCAGCCCGCGTCGGGCCTCTTCTCTGCGAGGGTCCGGACGAACTCGGGGCCCTGCAGAGCAGACGAGAGTGAAGCAGGTCAGGCCGCGCCCCGCTGGCAGCGCCCGGTGGGGGCCGGGACTCACTCGGGAGGGGTCCAGGAGCTGCTCTATCTGCCGGTCCTTCCTGCTGTTCTCCTCTTCCAAGCGCCGGAGCTTTGTCCGCATCAGATCCACGTCACTTTTCTGCACGTGGAGTGACTGGAGAGGAAAAGGAGCACACGTGTACGTCACATGTGTGCAGATGGTGGACATAAGCACACACATGCTGTGTCGTGGAAGGATCAGAGGTCACCTGCTGCTCCCTTCAGTGACGGCGTGTGCTGAGGCGGGGGTCTGTGGGGCCCTGCTAGGCTCAGGAGTGGGGGAAGAGGCAGCCGGATGTCCAGCACTCAGCGAGGCTCTCTCCCCCACTCCCGGCAGGCTGCTGGGAGAAGCCAATGCCCCTTAGCTGCGAGGTGCAGGGACCCACTGGAGCTCACGTGCATGAAAGCTCTTCCACGGCAAGGGGCTGCTGCCCTCCTCCTGGGTGACAGGGGCTTGGTGGGGGCGCATGAGGCCCTGGCTCCCACCCCCAGCATGTGCCATCTCCACAACCACACACAAGAGCACCGCTCAGCTGGCCCCAGCCTGGCATGTGTGAGCTGCTAGGGCGAGTCCCAGGTGTGCCAAACACTGCTAGGACGGGGTCCCAGGTGTGTCAAACACTGCTAGGGCCGGGTCCCAGGTGTATCAAACACTGCTAGGGCAGGGTCCCAGGTATGCCAAACAACTGCTAGGGCGGGGTCCCAGGTGTGCCAAACAGAATTCACCTCTGGGGTAAAGGTGCCTGCCTGGCATGCAGTTGTCTGGGTTCTCCTGCCGGAACCACAAACAGTCCCCCCAAGTACTGCTAGGAGTGATCCCTGTCACAGCCAGGTGTGGCCCCCAAAACAAAAACCGAAAAAGGCAGAAAAGCACACGAAGCTCATTCTGCTTCTGCAGCTAGCCTGAGTTTGCCGTTCTAGCCCTCCAAGGACTGCGAGGTCCTGGCATGACGCGGGCGGAGTTCCAGTCCGGGCTCTCTCAGGGCTCTCACTTCCGAAAGGGTTTTCTGGTGCTGGAGTGAGAGCACAGCGGGGAGGGTGCTTGCTCTGCACTCAGCGGACTCGAATTCGATCCCTGGCCTCACATACTGCTCCCTGAGCAGTGCTACAAATAACCACCGACTGGACCCCTGAGCATTGCTGGGTGTGGCCCCAAAACAAACAAACAAAAATGGGTCCTGTGGTCTCTGAGACGAGAAATGCACCGGGGTGAGGGCACGCGAGACTCAGGGGCCCCCATGGCACCCAGTTCTCACTAGCAGCCAACCAGCAAACCACTCCCAGTGCCGGTCTGCACCAGGGCCTCGTGGTCTCCAGGTGAATTAGCCAGAAGCTGCTGCCATGCGTGCTGGGGCCCACTGCCCGCAGGGGAGGGTCCACGAGGGCCACTCCAAGGTGTGTGGGGGCTCAGGGTGCAGTGATGGTCTGTGTGTGTGTGAGCCCAAGGACCCCGCCCCGTGCTGGCCCAGGAGGGCACCCCTGTGGCTGCAGGGCCTGGGTCCCAGAGGCCTACTTGGGACTCAGGAAGCCTGGATCTGAGACACATGCCAGGACTTGCGTCCGCGGACACCCACACGGAGTGTGGCGGCCCTGGACTGACCACCGAGGAGATGCAGCTGGGCCCAGTGGGGCGGGCCCCCCCGCGCACAGGCTCAGCCAGGAAGCCCATCCTACAGTCAGCTCAGGGGCAAGGAGCCCCAGGAGGGGTGAGGGCGTAGCCCGTCACCCCAGGAGCACTGAAGGGAGTGTCTGGGAAGGCTCTCAGCTCTGCGGCGACAGCAGGGAGCCTGGGCACTGCCAGGCAGAGCTGGACATCCCGGAGCACGCCTCCCTCCCCCAGTGCTGCCCTGGAGGTTGAGGCTGGGGGCCCCCCACTGCACAGGGATTCCGGCACAGCCCCGCTACGCTGCGGGGTGTGACTGCCTCCAGCAGAGCTGACACAGAGCCCTTGGGGGAGTAGTATCTCTGCTGAAGAGGCCTGGCCAAAGCCCCCTGAGAAGCAGGAAGGGGGGCCCTGCCCCAGGAGCATGCCCACTCTAGAGAGATGGGGAATCCCCCTAGCTCTGTCCTCAGCAGGATGCTGTCAGGTCGGGCATGCAGTGATCAGTGTCCTGCAGCCCCGCAGACACTGATCCCGACCCCCCACGTCTCCAGGGCACGTGCCCGGAGCATGCAGGCCCAAGAGATGCCAGGTGAGACGGCAGGACTCACAGCTGCCCTGAGGGCATGCTCCCAGGCAGCCCAAGAGCAGCCCGGCTGGTGCTCACTGATGGCACCCAAGTACCAGCTCACCTGTGCCCACTGCAAGCTGCTGCCCACGCGCCCCAGTCCCCAGACCCCAGGCTTGGCCACTGACCAGACCCCAGCACCCAGGCTCCAGCCGTTCTCCGACACCTACTGTTGCCACCAGGACAAGGCCCTGACTCCTTGTTTTTTACTGACTTGGTTCTTTCACCCTGGGGCTTCCCAAGCAGGGCAGGGGTGGGGTGGGGTGGGGGGCTGGTGACCCAGGAACCCGGGACTTTACAGTTCCATGCTCAGCTGAGGATGAGGAAATGCTGCCCCCCCAGCCCCCCAGGGCCCAGGGGCTTCCTGGCAATGTACGGGGGTGGTGCCAGCAAAAGGCTGTGCCCCCCACACACTAAGGACGTGGCCGCCCCATGCCCTGCACCAGGTGCGGGAGAGAAGCGGGCACCCTACCTTCTTCAGCTCGATAATCTCGTCATACATGTCCTCCTTTTCCCTGTACACGGGGGTTCCCGGAGTGTGACCTGAACAGAGAGGGGAGCAGAAACGCGGGTGAGCTCCCAGAGATGCTTCACAGAAGCACAGCCTGGCTCCGGGACGCACCCACCACAGCGAGGGGACAGTCCATCTCTCCTCAAGGAGAGCGATCGGAAGTGGGAGCCGGTAGGTGCCTGCCAGATTCGAACCCTGCACCCCCATTAAGTGCTGCGTGCTTGGGGGTCCAGGTTCAGGGGGGCCACCAGCAAAGCGCGGGGCGGGGGAGGAGGGGCAGTGGGACCCTGCTCTGGCCCAGCCCGGCTCACTCACCGTTGCTGGCAGACCGCCGGAGGGTGGCCCTCTTCATCCTGAGCGCTTCCACCAGGTGGTCGGGAGTATCCCTGGGGGGGCTGGTCCACGGGTGCTCGGAGCCAAGGTCTGACCTCAGGGACTGGGCCAGGCTGACTGGAGGGAAAGTGCAGAGGCACCAGCACAAACATCAGGTGGCCTCACTGGGGGGCCCCAGAGCAGCGTCCCCCTCCCCCGGGGCTGTGGGAGTTGGGGGGCACCTACCTGGCTTTGAGCTGCTCAGCCATAGCTTCTGGGGGGTCAGGGACGCTCGGGCCCCGAGAGGCATGCTGGCTGCTGCCCTCAGGGGCCTCCAGGATGCCACTTTTCTAGTTTTCGTCTGGTAAGGCGACTCTAGAATGCCAAGGCGGGGTTGGGCAGCATCAGCTGGTGCCCGGCAAAGGCCACCGGAGGCAGAGCTACCTCACGGCTGCCACTGCTGTTTGTAGAGACGTGACCAGTGGACACTTGGATCCCCCACCACTGCCACGAGCTGTCAGACCCAGGAACCCATAACTCTGTGTGCTTTTCTGCATCACATCTCCTGACTTGCCACGCAGCAGTGCAACGCTTTTTTTTTTATAGCACAGCGGGTAGGGTGTTGGCCGACCCGAGTTTGATTCCTCCGCCCCTCTCAGAGAACCCGGCAAGCTACCCGTTGACGTATTCGATATGCCAAACAGTAAACAACAAGTCTCACAACGCTCACAACGAAGATGTTACTGGGCCCGCTCGAGCAAATCGATGAACAACGGGAGGACAGTAACAGTGACAGTTTTGGGTCACACCCAACAATGCTCAGGGGTTACTCCTGGCTTTGCACTCGGGAATTACTTCTGGCAGTGCTCAGGGGACCATATGGGATGCCGGGGATAGAACCCGGGTCGGCCACAAACGCCCTACCCGCTGTGCTATTGCCCAGCCCCACTGAAACACTGACCAGCAGGAGAGAAAAAGGATGAACTTGTCAGGGACTTGTTTTTGGGCTATCAAAATGTGAGAACTACTTTAAATTTTTTTTTTTTAATGTGGGGATACTATTTATTCAGCCACTGATCAAGATGATTGAATTGAGCGTGAGCTCCACATTACTTTTTTTTTTTTTTGCTTTTTGGGTCACACCCGGCGATGCACAGGGGTTACTCCTGGCAGTGCTCAGGGAACCACATGGGATGCTGGGAATCAAACCCGGGTTGGCTGCGTGCAAGGCAAACGCCCTACCCGCTGTGCTATCTCTCCAGTCCCTCCACATTACTTTTTAAAATTTTTTCAATTGAACATCCGTGAGATAAGACCATTACAAAGCTGTTCATACTTGGGTTTCAGTCATAAAATTCTCCAGCACCCGTCTTTCCACCAGTGTACAATTCCCCACCACCAATGTCTCCTGTTTCCCTCCCAACACCTCACCGTCCCCCCCACCCCGCCCCCCGCCAGCCTCCCTCTATGGGAGGCACTTTCCTTCTTGCTCTCTCCTTTTCCTTTTGTGCATTATGGTTTGGAATACGTGCTAAGATCACAGTGTTTATTCAGGGCATTCAGTTATTTTTATCAGGACAGTAAGGCTGGAGTAGCTTTTAACTGGGTGGCTGCTTTGGGGTGTGGATGTAACTGCTGGGGCTTGGGGGGAGGTAGCCCATCCCGACCCTGAGAAAGCCTGGAGATTTCAGTCACAAAACCCACAATCCTGAATTTTCAGCAGCTTATATCACGGTGAGGTCTGTCCTTACATGGTGGGAGTCAGGCCGGGGGTATGGAGACGATTATGGATTGTGGGAGCAAGTTGCTGCCAGGGTCTTTGCTTGGGCAGGCTCCAGGCTGACACCCCCCCCCCCCCTCGGATTTACCCCAGTCTGTTTAGCCATGTGCGGGTCCGAGATTAACTACGGCTTTTGATCTTTTTCAAAATTTATTCATGAGTCTCTGAAGCGAGGCCGGTAATAGAGCTTACATAGCATAATTAATGGCTCTGGAGTTGGTTCGTGGGGGAGACTGCCAGTGCTTCCATGTGCATTGGGAAGTGGGGGAGGTAGTGCATCCCAACTCCGAGAAAGCCCAAGATTTTAGTCACAAAAACCGCATACCCGAGTTTTCAGCAAATTGTATCTTTGTGAGATCCATCCATCCGGGCTGGAGCGATAGCGGGTAGGGCGTTTGCCTTGCATGCAGCCAACATGGCTGACCTGAGTTCGATTCCTCCACCCCTCTCGGAGAGCCCGGCAAGCTACCCGTGATGTATTCAATATGCCAAACACAGTAACAAGTGTCACAATGGCGACATTACTGGGCCCACTCAAGCAATCAATGAACAACGGGAGGACAGTGACAGTGAGATCCATCCTGAGATGGTGGTCAGCCTGGGGTTATGGTGGCTGCTGGGGGCTCCAGGTTGACATGATTTACCCCTGGTGTATTCAGTCATGAGCAGGTGGGTCTGAGATTAAATGTGCCTTTTGATCTCTTTTTTTTTTTCCTTTTGGGTCACACCCAGCAATGCACAGGGGTTACTCCTGGCGGTGCTCGGGAAACCATATGGGATGCTGGGAATCAAACCTGGGTCGGCTGCATGCAAGGTAAATGCCTACCCGCTGTGCTATCACTTCAACCCTCTCTTTTGAGATTTATTTATGGGTCTCATAAATGAGCTTGTATAGCTGAGCTGGAGGTGGTTTGTGGGTGTGGTTTCAACATACCTAACTTTTGGCCATTTAATATTTTGGTAAACTTGGTCCCAAGTTGTTGGGGTACAGCCAAAGGCAGAGTGGCAATTTTGGCGTACCAGGAAGCCTAAAGACACCATCAGGTTGCTGATGTATTGCCCCAGAGGTACAAATTGACCTGCTAGTGGCTCTATACCCCTGTAAAATTATTTTTTTAATTTAGTAATCACTTCAATTACATAAAACAAGACAAAGTGATGCAAATATAAAGTCATAAACACACACACAAACACACTTTTGTGTGTTATCTGGGCTACACCATGATGTTTAGGGCTTAATTCTGGCTCTGTGCTCAGGGAATCACTCCTGGAGGTGCTCAGGGGACCACCTGGGGTGCCAGGGACTGAACCAGCGTTGGCTGCATACAAGGTTGAGCGCCCTCCCTGCTGTACTATTGCTCTGGCTCCTAATTATACTTTTTGTTAGGGGGCCACACCTGGCAAAGCTCAGGGGTTCCTCCTGGCTCTGTGCTCAGAAATGACTTCTGGCGGTGCTCAGGGAACCATATAGGATGCCGGGGATCAAACTCGGATTGGCCTTGTGCAAGGCAAATGCCTTTCCCACTGTACTATTGCTCCAGCCCCTAATTATGTATTTTAAACAGCAAATCTTCCTATTCATACAAGTAACTGTAGCGCTGTAGCACTGTCCTCCCGTTGTTCATCAATTTGCTCGAGTGGGTCCAGTAACGTCTCCACTGTGAGACTTGTTGTTACTATGTTTGGCATATCGAATACGTCACGGGGAGCTTGCCAGGCTTTGCCATGTGGGCGAGATACTCTCAGTAGCTTGCCGGGCTCTTGAGAGGGGTGGAGGAATCGAACCTGGCTTGGCCGGGCCTGCGGTTTGCAACGTAAATGCCCTACCGCTGTGTTATCACTCCAGCCTGAGTGTCATTAGAAGGAAAAAAAAAATCTGTGGAAGTGGTCCGGCTCATTCCTGAGTTTCCCAGGTGTGAGGGGGGTCCCAGGACCAGGACCCTCCCCCCAGTAGAACTCCAGCTACCCACAAGACCTCAGCTTCGTGCCCCCAGTGACCCCAAGCCCCACCTCAGGAGATGCCAGACAGATGACGGGAAGACTTGAGGGAGGGTCGAGGGAGAGGCGTGGGGCTGGCATGCGGCCAACACAGATGGATGCCTGGACACTGGTGCCTGAGCAGCATGCGAGGACAAGTGGCCACCTTCAACACTGGACACTACCACTGGTTCCCCTGGGCTCTGAGCACGGAGCTTGGAGCAGGCGAGACCAAGCCAGGAAGCCACAGCTGGTGCCCTGGAGGTCACGACGGGCACAGGGGTGGGCACTGGCAGGGGATGGGTGAGGTGCCACGTGCTCATAGCACCCCACATCCGTCATGGTTTGGGGGTCGTGGCCACGCTGAGTGCCATGAAGCCGTCTCTGGCCCTTGCACAAATTAGGAGAGGCGCTCTGATGCTGCTCTCAGTACTCCCAATGCCGTCTGCACGTTGGGGACAGCAAAGGTGCACCATGGCCCAAGGGACAGTGGAGCCACGCTCGGGCAGGAGGGAGGCCAGGCACCAAATTATGGTCCCTCAGCTGCCTCTGGTGCAGGAGCTCGCACAAACTTCCTTTACTGAGCTTTGGTTTTGTTTTGGGGCCTACACCCAGCAGAGTTTGTGGGGGGCCCTCCGGTGGTGGGGCCCTATGAGGTGCTATGGATCAACCGGGGTCAGCTATGTGCAAGGTAAGCAGGCCCACTGTCCTCTCTGCGTTCTCTCTAGCCCAGAGACGCTTTCTTTCCTACTCCTGATTACTTTCGGGCTAGGGAACCATCCCTGGAGGTGCTTGCGGCAACCAGAGCTCCAGGTCCCCTCTGGGGTTCAGGGATCGAGCCTGGGCCTCCAGCACACCAAGCCCCTGCCGGCCCGCTGAGCTCTCTCTGGCCCCAGAAATGCTCTTACTAATCATGTTTTCTTTCGGCAAACACGAGGTAAGTGCGTGTGAGGATGTGGGAGACCGGACGCTCCTCCCGCCGGCTGCACAGGCCTGTCCACTGTGCACTGAACCTGCAGCCCCCAGCAGAGGCCGCAATGGAGCAGTGCGATGAGGAGGGGGCTGCGGGGCCAGAGTCATCAGGGCAAGGACCCGCCGGCTGAGGGCCCAGGGACAGCCTGGCGCCGGTCTGAGACACCATGCCCTGCTCCTGCAGCATCTGGGATGGGTACGGATACCCACATACATGCAGTAGGTGGCCTTCCTGCCTAGGGGCCCATCTCCAACCTCGGGACTTTAAATCTGTCTCAAGGGTAAAGTGACTTTACGACAAGGTGCAGGTGTTGCCCAGGATGGGGACAGGGGCGGGAGTGGCTGCTCCGTCACAGGGCACAGTGTGGGGCTTGAGGACGCAGCGTGGGGCCTGAGGGTGCAGCTCCCTGCCCACATGGCACCCACGACAACACACAGCCCACGGACAGGGGCTGTGCCGCTGGGTGGGCGGAGTGTCCCCGGCTATACTCACTTGGCGATGCAGCTGAGGGTTTGCGGGAACTTTTCCTCTTTGCTTTCTGGAAGAAAGAAGACAGGCCGGGAATAGGGGGTGTCTCGTGCAGCTGGAACTTGCACACACACAGGGACACGCCATCACACTCACCGTCTCCAAGTCAGATTCAAAGGTGACCGCAGACAGACTGTCATCTCCCTGGGGGCAGAGGCACACGATGAGAGCCTGTGGCAGTGGCAGCCACCCACAGCGGGCCGGCACTCCCAAGTGGGGGGTGAAGGGCTGGGCCACGCCCTGGACACTCTCCCCCATCCTCTCCTCAGAGCCCTGGGCATGGCGGCCCCCCCGCTGAGAGCAAGGCCAGGTGGTCAGAACAGTCATGAAGGCCCCCCACGGCCTGCTGCCTCCTCCGGGGAGAAGGAGCCCAAGGCGCTGAGCGTGGAGCAGGGTGTGGAGACAATGGTGCCCGGGAATCGGCTGGGACCAGGCCTCCCGCAGCGACCTGGCCCCTCAGCCAGGGAACGACAATCTGGGGCGAGGTGAGGCTCTCCCCTCACTCCCTCGTTCCCCAGACTCAGTGACTGTCCCCCACCAGCACAGTAAGTACCTGAGATCCAGGGGAGCCTGTGCATCTATCTGCCAACACCCCCACAAAGGTGGATCCTCCCACAACACACACACACACACACACACACACACACACACACGTGCAAGCGTGCGCGTCCATGCAGCTGGAATCCGCCCAGAGGCAGGGACGGCCCCACGGAGCACGTGATCGTCACCGAGGGATGGGGCTGCCGGGTCTGGAAAAATTTGCCCATAGTTCATGTCAGTGTTTCTCAGCCCCTTCTTCTTTTTTGTTTTTTTTTTTCTTTTTGGGTCACACCTGGCGATGCACAGGGGTTACTTTTGGCTCTGTACTCAGGAATTACCCCTGGTGGTGCTCAGGGCACTATATGGGATGCTGGGAATCGAACCTGGGTTGGCCGCGTGCAAGGCAAACACCCTACCCTCTGTGCTATATTGCTCCAGCCCCTCTTAGCCCCTTCTGAGTGCGGTGCATGGAGCCTGCTGTCATGACTGTCCCCATGGTCTGGGAGGCCTCGGGAGGGGACGTCCAGCTGCGTGTGTGCAGCATTCCCCAGGCCGGGCCTCCACTGACTCCCACTGCAAGCAGCCGTCGGTGCTGGCACGCTTCCCCCACTTGACAATGCGACCTGTGGGGCCAAGGAACTATATGTGTTTCTGGGGCTGCGGTTCCTCAGTGCTGGAGTACGGCCCCAGCGGTCACCTCAGGGAGAACATTCTCAAACAGCCACAGCCCAGGGCAGTCAGGCCATGGGGACTGACAGCAGGTGGCAAAGGCAGCCCCCAAAGCTGGTGCTCTCAGGCCCACGGTCAGAGAAGCCATCGCCAGCTCAGCCCATTCTCCAGAGAGCCCTGTGGGTGCCTGGGGCTGCCGGTGATAATTCCACCCACCCAACTGGCACAGGTTCCCAGATCTCACCAGTGCCACAATATCAGATTCTGGACTAAGTCGCTGCTCTGTAGCCAGGCACAAGACACAAGGTGGCATGGAGCCAGGAGGGCCCCCCACCACACGTAGTGTCCTTCAGGAGAGAGGGCAGCACCCCTGAACCAGAGTGTCCCCACGTCTGTCCCCCTCTCAGCACACAGTTACACAGGACATGAGACACCAGCACACACACTCACACAGGATGTCCGCACACCCAACACACACTTGCATTCAGATGCATGCACATACCCAGAAGCACACGCCCCTATGCTCACAAATGCATGCACTCACACACATGCAATCACACACGCACCTATACTCATAACCATGCACACACTCATACTCACAGATGCACTCATGTACACATATGTACATACACGTGCACACACACTCACTCCATACAACCACACCAGTAAAGAGCAACATCTCAGGGGCCACACCTCCTCTGCCCCGCTGGAGCTCATGCAGACGTGGGGTGACCTAAAGCTAAAGCCAGAGCAGAGGGTGGAGTCGGACTTGGGCGATAACGGGACTGGAGGCAGCGGAGTCCCCAGGGGGTGCGGGCACCCCTGCCAGGAGGGCCACCAGCATCGATGAATGCTTCCTGCCGAGCTGGGGAGCAGCGGGAAGGTGGCAGGCCGGACGGACAGGCTGCGGGAGACGCGGGGGCAGCCAGGAACCGAGGAAGGCCACCCTTAGGGTGAGTGCGGGTGGGCGTCCCGGGCCTGAACCCCATCCTGCTCCAGCACCTGGTTCTCCGCCCTGAGGCACCACAGGGCCTTTGCACCTGCCCGCTCCGCTCTCGGGCCCTGCGCCCCGTCCCCCACGCGCGCAGCAAGTGCACGGGAGGAGGCAGGAGCCGGGATCCCGGGCGGCGGTGCCGCCTCCTCCGGGAAGCCCTCCCCGGAGTCTTGGCGAGGCCCAAGAACCCCCCAAGCCCGGGCCGCGACTCGGGGGTGGGGCGGAAACTCACGCGGGCCCCGTCACCGGCGGCCCGGGGGCGAGGCGCGGAATCCGTCCGGAGGGCTGCCTGGACGCGGCGGCCGGGGGGCCGCGGGCCCGGACCCGGACCCGGCCGGCCCTTGTGCGGTAACAATCTCGGCAGGGGAGCCCCGCCCGCCGCCCGCGCTCACCGCCTCCGACGCCGCCTCCCCGGCGTCCACCGACATGGCCGCGGCGCCCGGGACGCGTGCTCGGGTTCTGGGCCTCACGGGCCGCCTGCAGCCCCGCCGCACGCCGGCTCGCCGGGCCGCGACCCCGCCGCCATGGCAACCGCGGGCCCCGGACGCGCGGTCGTGCCCCGCCACTCCGGCGGCGCTGCGCCTGCGCGTCCCGGGACCGGGGCGGGGCTCGGCCGGGGGCGGGGCTGGGTTAGGGGCGGGGCTTGCGCGCGCCTGCGCCCTGCGTCCCGCCCGCCCGCGTCGGGGCTCGCCCCTCCGCCCCTAAACAGGAGGCAGAGGACGGCGGGGACCCTCCCTGGGGGGAGCCGGAAGCACTGTTTCCCGGGACTTTGCAGACTCGCTTTGTTTTTGCTTTTTTTGGCCTTTTGGGTCACACCCGGTGATGCACCGGGGCTACTCCTGGCTCTGCACTCAGGAATTACCCCTGGCGGTGCTCAGGGGACCACACGGGATGCTGGGAATCGAACCCGGGTCTGCCGCGTGCAAAGATAAACGCCCTCCCCGCTGTGCTATCGCTCCAGCCCCAAACTCGCTTTGTTTTTAATTAAACGAATCACGGGCGACAGTTCCGGACTCCAGAGCTTAGTGACTCCGGTTCGGTCCCAGGGATGAGCGCCACCCCTCTCTGCCCCCAGCCCACCGCGGCGGCCCCTTCTGCCCGGGCCCGGTCCCTGGGCTGTCTCTCGCGCCGAGCAGAGAGAAGTGAAGCAGGGTTGGTTGTTCGGCGGGGGGAGCGGGAGGAACCCCCAACCCGCCTCACGGGAGGGGCCCCCGCGCGGGCCGTCGCGCCCTTCTGGGTGCAGGGCTGCTGCGAAGCGGGTTAGTGGGCGCGCCCTTGGAAGCCTTTTTTTTTCCTGCCCTCGGTCCCGCCGTCCCGGGCGGGGGCTGAGGGCTACGGCGGGCTCCCGGGAGCTCCCTTCCGTGCGGGCGGGTCGGCTTTAGTCCTTCCAGATACTTAATTCGCCGTCAGGGGCTTCCCCAACCCCTGCACCCTGTGACGCGGCCCCAGGCTCCCTGAGAAACCGCCGTCACGCCCGGTCTCCTTCTGGAACTATAATTGTGAATCGGGGACTGGCTCGGGGCCCCTCCCGCCCCTCGCGCGCTGTGCCCGCAGCCCCGAGTTAGCCCAGAAGCAGGAACACCCGGGAACGAGCGCCGCTCCACGCGAACTCGGGGGGGATGTCCCGGGTTTCCGGCCCGCCCCCCGCGACAGGCCCCGCCCCTTCCGCCGGAAGTGCCGCTCTCCGGGGCACAGCGCCGCCCCACGCTCGGGCACGTACCACTTGACCCGTGGGGGTGGTGAGCGCCAGGTGATGGGGGCCCGACCGGCGTGGCACTGGCGTATCTCCGACATCTTCAGTCTGGGACACGTTTCGTGTCTTCGAGGCTCCCTGGGAGGCCTCCAGGGGGAGTCTGACAGTTCTTGAGGGCCACCCCGCCCGTCTTCTGCTCCCTCCAGCCCGGCAGGTGGCGCAGTCCGGCAAGCGGCACCTGCGGCGGCAGGGCTCCGGTCTCGGGCCTGTGGGGCGGGGCCTGCCGCGCTGGGGGCGGGGCTTACGGGTCAGGGGTGGGGCACCGCGCGTGAGGGGCGGGGCCTGGCCTCGGGGCGGGGCCTTATACGTCCGCGCGGCGGATGGGCGTGAGTGGCGTAGCCTTATATGTCCGCGCCGCTTCCTCGCGCGTAAGGGGCGGGGCCTGCGCGGAGGGGCGGGGCCTTCGCGGAGGGGCGGGGCTTGCGGGGCCCCGGCGGAGCGGACAGAGTGGTGAGCCGCGCTTTCCTGGGCTTTGAGGCTGCGGCCGCGGGTCAGCAGTGGTGGCGGGGGCGGGTGGTCGGGGCAGCGGGCCTCCTGGGAATGCTGGGCGCCCCTCTGGACCTCCCAGGGTGCCCGAGTCCGGCGCCCGCGGCGGGGGCTGCAGGCCTGCTGCAGAGAGCGCGTCTTTCGGGAGAGGGACGGCTGGAGCCGCAGGGTCGCGGCTCCCCGACCCCCGTGTCGGGTGCCCGCCCAGAGACCGCGGCCTCCTGGCAGCCCCCGGTGCGGGCGCGGGACCGGCACTTGCAGCCGGGACGGCCGGTCGGTCCCCGCGCACGTGACGCAGCCTACCGTGTGCCCCCAGCTGCCCCGACACCTTAGGACCTCCCCCCGCCTTAGGTTCCCCCCGACGCCTTAGGGCCCCCCCGACGCCTTAGAACCCCCCCATGCCTTAGGCTCCCCCCACTCCTTCTACCCGGACGCCTTAGGTCACCCGCTCTCCACCCCCCAGCTCCCCTACCTCGCGGTGGCCTGGTGGTGCCTTTGCAGGAAGCCCCCCGCCATGGACCCGGAGTGCTCCCGGCTGCTCCCGGCCCTCTGCGCCCTCCTGGCGGACCCTCGGCAGCCCGTGGCCGACGACACCTGTCTGGAGAAGCTGCTGGACTGGTTTAAGGCGGAGACGGAGGCAGGTGAGGCGGCTGCAGCCCCCCAACCCCCTCCTCTGGGGCTCCTGTGTTTTTCTGCTTGGTTCACTATGTCAGGTGTTTCCTTCTTGTTTATGACTCCAATATGCAAAAGAATAGAGAGAAAAAGTAAAGCCACCCGGGGCAGCGCTGCGCTCGCTCGTGGTGTGGCCCAGCCCGCTTGTGTTCCTGGTTCTGCTGCTGCTCCTTCCCCTGCCCGGTCAGTGACTGCCCTGGCAGGTTCCCCTCCTCCAACCTGCCCTTGTCTGGGGAACCTCCTCTCTCCGTCCCTGAGAAATGGTCATTCTGCTACTTCGTGGGGACAGGGAAAGTTGTTTTGGTTTTTTGGTTTGTTTTAAATTGAAAAAAAAAATTGGGCCACATCTGGGTGCTCAGGGCTTACTCCTGGCTGGGCTCAGGGGAGCATACAGAGTGCCAGGGATTGAACTTAGGTCTGCTGTGTGCAAGGACAGCGCCCTCCCTGTCCATCCTCTGGCACCGGTCCACCTACTTATTTATCAATGGAATCCTGCGGTACCCGGGCACACTCGCAGAGTTTCTCTGTAGTTGTGGCCTCAAATCTGTTTCTTGAACTTGACTGCCTGCAGGCTTTGCCGCCCATTTGGCACCGTGCAGCCAGGGTCCCCTGACGCCCTGCATTGGGTGCCACGGCTGGTGTAGTGCTGGGGGATGCTCCCGCGTGTGCCCCAGTGCCCCGCCGACTGCCCCTTCTTCCCCCTAGAGGACAGCCCTCTTGGCAGCTGGCATTGGTATAGGTTCTCGATCGTTCTGCTGTTTTGTTTGGAGTTTCTCCGGCCCCTTTCCCTGCGTGGCCTCCTCTGCTCGTGCCTCCCTGGTGTGCTCCCCGGTCACAGCCCTTGGTTGTGGGTCACACACTGCTCGTGCATGAGGTGGCCCCAGGGATCGAACTTGTAGTCTGAAGCTTAAGAGGCCACGACTCGGCCCCAGCCTCCGGCCCCCTGGCTGCTGTCCCAGCCGCTCCCCTGCGCGCTCCTCTCCACACCTGTCTGCTTGCTGCCCATCGGATGTGTCTGTCCATCTTGGCCTTCTGCAGCCAGTCCCCTACTCGGCTCTTTCTGAATGTCAGAACCTGGAGCTCTGTCCTCTGCCCCATCCCTTTCCTGGGGCCGAGGCTGGCGCGTGCTTGTGGGGTGGGGCTGGGTCTGCTCTCAGCTCTGTCCTTGGGGATCCCTCCTGGCAGTGCTGGGGGGGCCTCAGTGCCACTGCCCTTGTTGGCCCTGGGCTCTTATCTGAGCACCTCCTGGGGCAGGTTGGAACCCCCCTTGCGGTTGCCTCCGGCTGGCCCATGGGTGGGTGTGGCGGGAGCCCCAGTGACGTGCTGCCTGGGCCGCTCAGGGTCCAGTGTTCTGTTGCTGCAGGACCACCCTTGCCTGCTGGAGCTGCTGCTGCAGGTGGCGCGCGACCCGGGCCTCAGCGACAGGGTCGTGTCCTTTGTGCTGCGCCTGGCAGGGCTCCTGGCAGCCGAAGAGAGTGGCTTCCGGTGTCTGCAGGTGAGTGGCCAGTGGTGGGGTTCTGGGGACTGGCAGCCTTCCAGCCCTGGCTGGGATATCAGGATGTCGTGGGGGCACCTCTGTGCAGTGGGTGGGGGCCCAGTGGCCAGCCCAGCTGCCCACACGTAGAGCATCGCCCCATGTGCTCGCTGTCCCTCAGCACAGCCCACATGCTCCCACCCCCTGGGGACAGGGGAGCCCAGAAAAGGGCCTGGGGGCCAGGCTGGCACTGGGTGCAGGGTCTGACATTGACCGTGGCCACCTGTCTGACAACGGCAGCTGTTCCTGCCCGCAGGCTTCCGAGGAGACTCTCCCCATGCTCAACCCCTGCCCTGGCTCATACTCCGTCTCTCTGCTCCCAGCAGGGCGACCTACTGATCCAGCTCTTTGGGGAGGGGTGCGCCCCCTCTCGAGCCTCCTGGGCGGCCCCCAGCGTGCGCAGTGGCTGGGTCCAGGGACTGCGCTCCCTCGCGCGGCACCCCTCTGCCCTGGACTTTCTGGATGTCCTTGGTGGGTACATGTCTACGTCTGCATTCTCCCGTCCCTGCACCCCCACACCCTAGGCCACATTCCCCATCCCTGTGACCCCCTTCCGGTGCTGACTCACCTGGACTCCCATCCCCCATCCCCTATCCCCATCCCTATAGCCCTGCCCTGGACCCACGTCGTCCACCATCTACCCAGCCTGTATTCACCATCCCTGTGTCCCCCAGCCTGGGCCCCCATCCCCCATCCCTGTGTCCCCCAAGCCTGGGCTCCCATCCCCCCATCCCTGTGTTCCCCAAGCCTGGGACCCCATCTGTGTCCCCTAGCCTTTCTCAGAGAAGGCTCGTGACTGCCGCAGGGTGAGCCCAGACCAGCTGCGCATCCCCTGAGTATGTCTCTTCCCCTCACTCCCAGGTGCTGTGGAGACCATCTTCTCCCTGCAGGGAGACCCCAGCCTGTTTGTGGCCTCGGCCGCTGAGCAGCTCCTTGCCCAGCTCCTGGCTCTGTCTCTGCGCGGCTCGCAGTCCTCCGAGTGGCCGCCCCGTGCCCTGCAGATTGTGGCCCACCTGGAGGAGTCCCTGCGCTCCTCAGCCACCGAGCGGGTCACGCAAGCCTTGCACGTGCTGACCACCACGTTTGGCAACAGTCACGAGCCCTGGACACAGGCCCTGTGGGCACAGCTGAGTCCCCTGGTTGCCAGTCTGCTAGAGGAGGACCCCATCCCAGCCGCTCACGCACTCGTGGACCTGCTCCTCAGCGTGGCCCGGTCATACCCAGGGCGGGGGGGATTGGGGGTGCAGAGGAAGGGGGGTGCGGGGTGTGGCGGCAATTCCTGGGGTGCCTGAGGGTGAGCTCTAGCTGTGGCTCACAAGGGGTTGCTGGGGGTGAAGGGGCCTCAGTGGTTAGAAGGAGGCGCCCCCTGGTCACATAGGTGGCTGGGAGGGAGGCACGCACATGTGCACGTGCAGGCACGCTCACACTCATGCACACACACGGACAGGCACACCCACAAGTGTGCACACAGGCACGCACACACAGCCGTGCACATACACAGGTGCACTCACGTGCACACAGGTGCACACAGGTACGCACACAGGTATGCACACACAGGCGTACACAAAGATACAGGCGCACACGTACACAGATGCACACAGGCGTGCTCACACACGGGTACACAGGTGCACACACAGGTGCACACAGGCACGCGCCACACAGGTGGACACACAGACCCACAGGCGTGCACACGCATAGGTGTACACATGGGCACATAGGCACAGGCACGCACATATACACCGATACACACATACACAGGCACACACACAGGCATGCATACACATAAGGCACACACTCAGGCACCCACACGTGCACACACACACACACATGCATGCATGGGCCTGGTGGCCCAGACTGAAGTCCCTTTTCCTGCAGCTCCCCTGCGTGCAGTTCCGATGTTGGCCTGTGGGAGGTGCTGGCGCAGACTCTGAACTGCCTGAGCCCCACACACGCAGGGCCTCTGGCCTTGGGGGTCTTGAAACTGCAGGAATGGTGAGGGCAGGGTCCCGGTGGGTGGGCACTGGGTTGGGGGGTGCTCCCTGCCTTCTGCTCTCCCAGCATCCTGGCACCTCGGGTAGAAGGGACAGGAGGAAGGCGGTACTGGGTGGTGGCAGTGGGAATAGCGTCCGCTCAGCCTGGTGTGGGGCTGGGGGACAGTGTTTAAGGGGAGAGTGAAGGAGACGCTGGTAGGAGAGGGGCTCTCTGGCCCTCGCTGCCTCCCTGCCTAAGCACAGGGCGAACCTTCTAGAACACAGGAGAGGCGGGCACGGTGGCCCCGGTGGTTCCGCTGTCCGTCCCTGTGGCCCAGCAGGCCCTGTGTGCTCCGAGGGACCTTCCCCGGGCTCGGGACTGAGGGGCTCCTCAGGCAGCGAATGGGGTCGTGGCGTGCCAATGCGGCTGGGCTCACGGGGCCGCCTCCAGCCCACAGGCCCTGAAGGTGCAGGCCTTCGGCGTCCTCCTCCAACCGCTGGCCTGTGTTCTTGAAGCTGCAGCGGACACCCCTGGACTTGAGGGTACGTGGCCAGGGGAGGACAGGCCTGGGGGGGGCAGGGCCAGGGCCGAGGGAGGGCCAGTATCTTGCAGGACCACCCTTGGCCACAGCGCGGGGGCCGCTCACCCAGGCTCATCCTTCATGGTCGCAGGCTTGCCGGCGGGGGCGGTGGGGGACTCGGCGACGGTGGCCACTCTCCTGTCCTCCAAGGCGGCCTGTGCGGGGTTGCTGTGCCGGACGCTGGCCCACGTGGAGCTGCTGCAGCCCCTGGTGAGTACCCCCGGCCCCGGGCGGAGCAGGCAAGCTGGCAGGCTCTGACTCATGCTCTTGTGTTCCCAGCCCCAGCGCCCTGAGCCCTGGCCGCAGGCTGCGCTGCTGGCCGCCACCCTGACGGTTCTACGCCTCTGTGATGGTTCGGCCGAGCCTGTGTCTGACATGAAAGGCCGGCTGGGCACCCTGCTGGTGGGCTGCGTGCGGGTGCAGCGGGCAGCCCTGGATTTCCTGGGCACGCTGGCTCTGGGCACAGGTAAGGCCCTGGGCTCTCCCGGGAAGCGGGGGGCGCGTACTGACCCCTTCCCGGGCTAGAGCCTCCCTCTGCCGGCCGCAGGTCCCCCGGAGCTGGTGGCACGAGTGTTTGCTGTGCTCCTGGAGTACCTGCAGAGCCCAGACTGCAGCCCTACGGTAGGGATCACGTGGGTTGAGGCGGGGGGATTTGGGGTTCAGAGCTAGCACACCCATGGGCTATCTGAGGGTCTGCATGTGCTTCCCTGGGAGACATGGGGTAGGGCCAGGGGCCGGGGGGTGGGCACGGGCAAGTAGGCTGGGCTGGCTCCCTGCAGGTTCTGAAGAAGACCTTCCAGGCTGCGCTGGACTGGCTGGCCGGCGCCCCCGAGATGGCCAGCTGCCATGACCTGGACCCTCCCGCTCAGCTCTTTCTTGGAGGTGACTGGTCATTTGGGGAGTGGTCAGTCAGGGCTGCCCACTGACCATTCCTCACCAGCTGGTCCCGGGGACCTCAGGGGCTGGCGGGTGGTGGTCAGGGCTACCCGCTGACCCTGTCCCCTGCAGGACTCCTCCGGGCACTGCAGAAACGCCTGCTCAGCCCGAGCTGGGAGGTGCGTGACTCTGGCCTGGAGTTTCTGAGCCAGGCCGCCCGGCGCCTGGGAGGTAAGGGGCGTTGGGAAGGGGGGGGAGGCCCTCTTCCCCGGGGGATGCCATGGGCCCCTTGTCACATGCTGTGGCTCTGGCCCCCCAGGACAGGCCAGCTTCACACAGGTGCTCCTGGTATCAGAGATCCCTGCGCTCGCCCACCAGCTCCTGCAAGACCCTGAGAGCTATGTCCGAGCCAGTGCAGTGACAGCCCTGGGGCAGCTGTCCAGCAGGGGGCTCTACGGCGCCCCGGGGGGCCAGCAGGTAGGGAGGGGGGGCGTCCCGACGGGGGGCAGTGGTGGTGGTGGCTGAGTCCAAGTTGCATGTCCCCGTCCTGTCCCCACAGGGCCTGCTGGAGGACCTACTGCATGTTCTCACTACCGATGTGGACGGCTTCCCGCGCCGGGCGGCCATGCAGGTGCTCACACAGTGGGCGCGGGATAGCCACGCCGCCAGGGTCGATCCCCCGGAGCCCCTGGTGGCCAGAGCGCTGCGGGCAGCCGGCCAGGATGTGGACTGGGAGGTGCGGGCGCAGGGCCTGGAGCTGGCACAGGTGCTTGTGTCGCAGACCTTGGGTGCACCCAGCCCTCCCTGCCCCTACGCCCCTCTGCCCCTGCCAGTGACCGCCCCGCAGCTATCCCCCGCCCAGGCCCTTGAGACCCTCTGCCGCATGCACGTCTTCCACTTTGCCTTTCGTGCCTTGTTGGACTGTGACCGGCCCGTCGCCCGCAAGTCCTGTGCCCTCCTCCTTTTCCTGAAGGCCCGCACCGCCCCCCCGGCCCTGGGCCCAGAGGCTGGAGACAGCCCGGAGCCCACCGCCCTGGAGGCCGCTCTGCAGGGGTGGCAGGCGGGCGAGCAGGACCCACTGCAGGAGGACCTGGGGCCCAAGGCAGCACTGGCCGCGCTGCGGGCACTGGACCTGGACAGGCTGCAGGACACGCTGGCCGCAAGCAGCGACCACACAGAGAGGAGTGCTCGGTCCCTGCTGCAGGACATGCTGGCCTCGGCAGGCACGTGGGGCGAGAATGAGGCTGACTGCTACTGACTTTCCCCCCACCTGCCCCTTCCGTTTCCCTCGAATGTAAACGGAGCTTCGACGTGCCTCAAGCCTGCCTGTTATAGACGTGGGGAGGACTGGGCGCAGAGCGCAGGGTGCGGGCCCGGGGCTGCTGACAGGGCTGCGAGCTCTCCACAGGGATGTCCAGTGTCCTGAGCACACCCTCGAGGGGCAGGGATAGAGGCGGCCCAAAGTCCAGGCCCGGGCCTGGGTCTAGCCCCTGATGCCCCTGACCCTCCAACAGCATGGTGACAAATGGTGTGTGTGTGTGTAGCCCCTGACCCCAGGCCCGGGTCCAGCCGTATGTGTGTGTGTGTGTGTGTGTGTGTGTGTGTGTAGAGCCCCTGACACCCCTGACCCTCCAACAGCATGGTGACAAATGGTGTGTGTGTGTGTAGCCCCTGACCCCAGGCCGGGTCCAGCCGTGTGTGTGTGTGTGTGTGTGTGTGTGTGTGTGTGCAGGCCCGGGTCCAGCCGTGTGTGTGTGTGTGTGTGTGTGTGTGTGTGTAGAGCCCCTGACACCCCTGACCTTCCAACAGCATGGTGGCAAATGGTGTGTGTGTGTGTGTGGGTGTGTGAGAGAGACCCCAGGTGGGCGCTGTCTCAGCTGTGTCTGGGCCTGCAGACTCGCTGAGTCCCCAGTATCTTTTCGTCACCTTTATTCACAGCAGGGTAGGAAAGCCTGAGAAAATGAAAACCCCCATGGAGCTACTGATAGCAGCAGGAGTGCTCGGCGCACCTGTGTGCCTTGTGGCAGGGAGACTCGGGAGGGAGGAAGGGAGCCCACGGAGCCAAGGAGAAACAGCAGCCAGGAAGCTAAAATGTGGCTAGAGCTAGCGGGTAGCAAGTGGGGAGGGCACATGGCTTTGCACATGGCCGACTGGGGTTCCGTCCTGGCACCCTGTATGGTCCCCCAAGCCCTGCCAGGAGTGATTCCCGAGTATAAAGCCAGGAGTGTGGAAATGGGAGTGGAGAAACCATCCATGCTGGAAGCTGGTTCTTCGGAGGAGGGATGGTTGTAAGGAGACATGTCACGACGGATCACGATGGGTCCTGAGGCTCGGGTACAAGGAGCCCCTGCAAGGCTCAGAGGAGGCCCCCACACCAGGACAGAGAGGGCCCCAGGGAGCAACATTTGCTTTGTGCACAGCTGGCTTGGGTTTGATCTGCATCTCATGGTCACCTGAGCACAGAGTTAGGAGTAAGTGTTGAGCATTGTGGAGAGTGGCAAAAACCAACTGGACTACCGCTGCTCCCCCTTGTGAAAAGAACAGTCCAGCACCCCTGGATGTGGGCTTTAAGCAAATGACACTCCACTACTGCACCATGCCCCTCCCCACTGTGCCAGCGCCCCTCGGGAGTGCTCCCACTGACCTCGAGGGACCCCCCAGCTGCTCTGGGAGGCAAGAGCACCCTCCTCTGAGGCTGGTGAGGCTGCCTCTTCTGGGATGGAGTCAGATTCCTGACCTCGAATGGACTTGGTATTTGAGGGAGTGTGTGGTTCTGACTGTCCCCAGTTGGTACACTGCTGTCCCCTCAGCCACAGAGGCCTTCTGGGCCACCTCCCTGGGCATTAGTTCCAAGTCAGCTCTGGCTCCTTCCTCCTGTTCTCCCAGCTTGTCGCCATCCTTGCAAGCTGGCAGCTGGGCTGAGACTCCAGGTGGCGGGTGCAGAGGCCCCCCACCTTCTGCCCTCCCGCCACCCACTCTGCTGGTCACCTGGGCTCCTGGGAAGGGGGAGGTCACCTACCTACCATGGGCGCTGCACCTGCTGGGCCTGGAGTGTACAGGAGGCCTCCCGGGCCACTGCTGAAGAGGATCGAGGTGGGATGGGCATAGGCATCCCGCCCCGGCCAGTGCCCGTGGGAACAGAGGGGACCAGGTGGCTTCTGGGTTCGGTTCATCCAGAACCAGTGCCCTTGCCAGGGATGGGACGGGCTGGGCTACTCCAGGAACCAGGGCAAGTGTGGGAGCCACAGAAACAGAGCAGGGCTGGCGGCGCTGCCATGCTGCCCTCTGCGGGCTGGTGGGCACGTGGGGAGCTCCCGTGTTCCTCCTGGCATAGGCCAGTTTCAGCACCAGAAACCTGCCCGGGGAAAGCAGGGCTCAGAGTTGGCAGCCATGTCACTGGAAATCACTGGCCGCCTCAAAGGCTCCATGCCACCGAGACTTAAACCCGAAAGTTTTGTAACTGCTCTCACGGTGATTCAATAAATTTATAAAAAAATGGAAAAAAATAAAAGGTGGAGTTCATGCCCAATTCAATCAGCTGAGCTAATGGCTGAATAAATAGCAGTACTCCTACATTAAAAAAAAAAAGGCTCCATGCCTGGACATGCGCAGTGGAGATGGGGGAGGCCTCGAGCCTGGAATGGCCAGGGGGAGCCCACGTACAGGATGAGAGGCTGGAGAAGGAGGTCAGCACCAGCCCTGGGGGACAAGCTCCTTCAGCACAGAGTGGCCGCACACTGCCCAGGCCCATGGACATCTGGGTGCCCAGGAGCTCCTGGGGGAAGAGTCTGATGTTGCCTCTGCCCAGCTAGGAGGCCACAGTGCGACAGCTGGCTGGTCCCTTGAGCTCCATGGCCACCTGGGTGTTCAAAGCCCCAGCTCCGGCCCCTTAGCACCCAGGGCCATGGGCAGCTCTCAGCACTGGGCTCTGGCACTTCCCATGGGGGTCAGCCAAACTCAGCTCAGGGGTCACTCCCAATGGGGATTGGGATCCTGTGGGGTGCTGGGGGTTGGGGTCAGCTTGGGCAGGGGAAGCGTCTTGCCAGCTGTACATTCTTTGACTCAGGAGCAACATTGATCCTTCTGGAAGGTTCTGGAAGGAGCTCCCTGGAGAAGATGGGCTCTGGCCCTGCTGCCTTTTGTGAGCAAAGCACAGGTTTGGGCAGTAGACCGGGTGTCACAGGCCGGTGTGGGGGCCTGTTCTGTTGGTGCTGAAATTAGGAACGGGAGCCTGCAGGCAGCATCGCTCCCTATGGTGGGGATGTGCTGGGTCTGGGAACAGTTTTCCCCAAATAAATAAATCCCCTAGCTACTGTTCGGGCACCGTGGAGAACACAGCACACGGCACAACACAACACACAACACACAGGAACATCAACTAGTTTAAGGCCAATTTTAATAGATTGAGAAAAGCCATATTTACAAGCATGTCACCTGCACTGTCATATGAGTTCTGCTGTCAGTTCACATAGCCTGTGCAGACAATGTGTGTGTGTGTGTGTGTGTGTGTGCGTGCACGCGCGCGCGGTGGAGCTCAGCAAGACGTGGGGGAGTGGCCATGATGAGGCCTGGATGCAAGTCTTGAAATCTCGCTGGGCGGAGCCCCTCAACCCCTTGCAGACGCAAAGCTTGGCCTGCACTGGGCATGGACACTGACTTTCCTTCTCGGGACTTTGCCATGCCCCAAATGCATGAGGTGTCCTCAGCACATGAATCAGAGATTGGGCTTTTGGTCACCTGGGCTTGTCCACTGGAGCTGGCCTGAGAGGACGGGGGCAGGCGGACACTTTACACACAGTCACCAAACAGACCCCACATGGACACAGAGACCAGGGACACCCCCAGCCTGGCTGCTCAGTGCAGAAGAGCCCACGAGTCAAATGACCTCTGATCCCAAACGCAGATGGGATGGACCCCCAGACTCCCAGAACTGTGGCTGCCATGCTGGCTTATTTGCTACTTGAGGGGGTCAGCTCTTAGGTACCCCTCCATCAGCACCCCTTTGTCCTCCCCCGATCCCTAGCCCATTGTTGTGAGGAATGGGCTTGCTCAGGAAGCCCACTGAGAATCGCCAGGAACTGCACCAGCTTCAAAGATAGCAGGAGATGGCAGCCACGGCAGGGACCTGCCATCCACTCAGCAGTGACCTCACGCCATCCTTCCTGGAGGCAGGGAGGAGTCGGCCCTGGAGTGCTCTGGCCACGGCCTGAGGCAGTCAGCACCCAGGAAGGTGTGGGCCCCGCTCAGGAGAAACCCACTCTCAGAACCCACTCTCGGAATGGTGCAGTGACCCCACACTTGCAACCTGGCACAGGCGTCAGAGGGAGCCCACAGGACGGGTGCCAGTGCTTTCACCCATCACCCAGCTATGACACAGAGGATGCCCCAGGAACCTGGTGGACTTCAGACTTCCTCCCTGAAACTGTAGGTGCTAGTTCCTAAGGGTTCGGCTGGAAAGGTCAGTTGGGAGGAAGCAAGCTGGGTCCCCAAAGCTGCCAGAGTCTCCCGCAAGGCTCATGGTATATGTGCCCAGGACACATTGTTTGTGTGTGTGTGTGTGTGTGTGTGTGTGTGTGTGTGTGTGTTCAGGAATCTCCTGGGATACGTTATGACACATCTGGTATGTGTATTTAGGCCAGCCTCCTGGGGTATGTATGTGTGTGTGTGTGTATGTACAGGCCAGTCTCCTGGGGGGGGGGGGGGTGTTTGTTCAGGACAGTCTCCTGGGGGGTATGTGTGTGTTCAGGACATCTTCTTGGCACACGTAGACAAAACTAAAGCTCAAATGTGAAACTGGAGTCACAGTGGAGTCCAGTCACTGGCTCTCAGTTGAGGTGAAGCAATTGCTGGCTGTCTGCTCTGAGACACCCGGGGGCCTGAAGTAATGGTCACTGGAGGGTGCCCGGGGAGGCCCTGCTTGATCCACCTCAGACTGCTTCCACTAGGGTTAAGACGACATGACTAACTTATCGCAGAGGGGAAAAATGGCAAGCATAAGAATCCCAGTGCTTTCCCGTAAAGAACAAAGCAAAAACATTGTCCCCACAGCCGGGAAAGGTGGAGCTGGCTCGCAGGTGGGTGGACAGCATCACTAAGAGGAAAATGTCTTGAGAAAGTTTATTGTTACATTTTTGCAATAATAGCAGAGGCACAACTATCTCCTGTTTCTCCATAACATCTCAATACAAAAGACAAGAATTCAAGGTAACAGTGAAATTAAAATAAAAAAATAGAAAAGCCCAAGTTTGGAGATAAAAATGGCTACAACCTGGGTGTACAAAGTTGCGGATGGTTTTTCTCGGCCTAGCAAACACATCTCCTCTCTGCCAAGGGATGGGTCGCAGCTGTCAGTGCCCTGGGGTCACAGCCTCTCCTCACATACAGGCATCGGGTTTGGAAAGTGCAGAGTGAACAGATCAAGACTGTTCAAGGGAAGGGCATCAGACGGGACTGACTCAGACGGACTGTAGGGGGCAGGTCTACTAAGACCCTCGGCTCCAAGCGGCACCAAGGAGTTGACCCCCAGCAACCAAACACCCTCTGTGGCAGGGGGCACCGTGAGCCCTAGAGACTGGCAAGTCAGACCTGGCCAAGAACAGAGGACTCTGGGGCAGGGGCTGAGCCTGGTGTGGGGACTGGCCCCATCAAGTGCTCCTGGCTGACGCTTCCTGGGTCACTCACTTCCTGTTTAGGAAGAGCTGCAGGAAGCAGGAGCAAGACCCTTCCTGCCTCCCAGCACACACGGACAAGTCTGGAGCACCGAGACAGAAGAATTTTGTGCTGTTCCCTCGTTAAGGACACGTGACTCCGCAGCGAGTCGGCACCCGTTCTGGGTCTGCAGCTGCCCCCAGCTGATAATCACTGGGCTCAGTGAAGTGGGCCAGGGCCAGGGGAGAGCACAGCCAGGACGAGGCCCTCGGGCGTGCTGGGGACCTGCGGAAGATTCCGGAGAGCTATAGGGGGAGCCTTTGCTCTCTGGGGGATGCCAGGAAGGGTCCTGGACACCCCGCCTGGGCTTTCCCTGCAGGGAGCAGGCGGCGGGGACTGGCGTGGAAGGCGCGTGTGGCACAGTGAGAGGACCCAGAGTGTGGCGACATACCCGCCAGCACCTGTTGTGAATGCCAGGTGCCACACTGAGGCACGGCTGTCGGAAGGCACAGTGGGTGGCAGCGGGGCAGCCGAGAGGAGGGAAACGTCCAGGGCTTCCTGAAGGACACAGTGAGCGGCAAGGCCCAGGGTCAGGGCGGGGCTCAGCCGGTCCCGGCACTGCCGTGTGTGCACGTGTGCAGTTAGGGCCATGCTTTCTGGACAAGACGGACACGGCCCCGTGGCCGCGTGCGCGGTGCCGGGGGTTCAGTAGTTTGGCGCGTCCTCGGGTTCAGTAGCGGGAATGCACTGGAGGGGCAGCCGCGAGGACGCCCTCACTGCAGCATGATGTCCTTCAGGTTCTCCTGCAGGATGGTGTCCTTGACGGCATGGAACACGAAGCGGATGTTCTCCGTGTCGATGGCGGTGGTGAAGTGGTGGAAGAGCGGCTTGCTGCGGTTGCGCCGCCGCCGGTCAAAGCTCTGCACCAGGAAGCGCTGCACGTCCTCCAGCCGCTGCGGGTCCCCCTTGAAGTCCGGGAAGTGCTTCTTGATGCTGACGCTCTTCACCTTCTCCACCAGCAGGTCCATCTTGTTGAGGAAGAGGATGATGGAGACGTTGAAGAAGAGCTTGTTGTTGACGATGGTCTCGAAGATGTTCATGGACTCCACCAGGCGGTTGGTGCGCCGGTCCTCCATGAGCACCTGGTCGTACTCGCTGGACGACACCATGAACAGGATGGAAGTGATGCCGTCGAAGCACTGGAACCACTTCTGGCGCTGTGAGCGCTGGCCCCCTACGTCCACCATCTTGAAGGGGATCTTCTTGATCACAAAGTCGTGTTCCACGATCCCCTTGGTGGCTTTCCGTGCCAGCAGGATGTCCTGCTTACTGGGGAAGTAATTCTGTCGAGGGGACAGGGGACATGGTCAGGAGGGACAGAGCAGGGAAGGTCAGAGCGCACAGTTCCGTCATGAAGGGCTGGGGCCACCTTTGTTGCTACCCCGAGCAAATTTCATTTCTGAAATTCAGCATCGATACAACCAACACACACGGTCAGAGTGAGTCACACCCACCCTTCCGAGGAGTAAATTGGAACCTACCGTGGGACCGACCTCAAACCTCAACCCCTGCCCTCTTCCTTCGGCTCTGCACGCCCCCTTGCCTTCCAGACACCAGAGCGCACAGCCCGGCAGCCGACACGAGCTGACGGGATGCAGGCAGCCTGCCACCCCACTCCAGTTCACAGACACAGGCTCAGGGGCACAAAGGGAGGCAACAGCCAAAGCCAGACCAGGCCCCGCTGGAGCCGTGTAAGGCCATTCCCCGGGCAGCCTGGGCCGCCGGGCTGCGGACTCCCCCTGAAGTACCAAGGTGAATGGGTGAGTGGGAGAGGCTCAATCCCGAAGAATGATTGAGGCAGATGGAGGAGGCACGGCTGAATTTTTCATGGCGCCAAGGCACCGTGGTATGGTTTTCAGAGCTACACTGACACGTCACCAGTGAAATGACAGACGAAGGGTTTGTCCTTGGGGCTGGGCTGGAAGCGCCGGGGAAGGGCTCTTACAGAAACCCGGCTCACACTTGGCTGTCGCAGGGAATGAAGGTTTGGGAGGACAAGCAGATGGTGCGCACCACACATATGCAGTGTACAGACTTGGACCTGGCCACCAGTGCAGCCCACTTGGCCGGGTCCCTGGGGTCACACCAATGTTCTCCAGCCCAGGACGCAAGGCTGGGCTAAGGGTTAGGGGCTGGGAGGTGGGACCTTACTCACCAGCTGGCCAATCCGGTCCAAGTTATCCAGGAAGTACTTCACGGATTCCCCCTGTGACAAAGGAAAGGCGCAGAACTGAGTCTGGACAAAGGGCCAGCAGGGAGGCAAAGGTGAGCATGCTGTCAGACAAGGACCACGGCAGCGCAAGGTGGGTTTGAGGACAGGCAGACACAGAGCTGGGAGAGTGACCAGCAGCGGACTCTGACACCCGCTCACAGGTGTGGTGGACAGAACAACTGAGCACAGGACATAACAGAGGGCTTTTTTTTTTTCCTTTTTGGGTCACACCCAGTGATGCTCAGGGGTTACTCCTAGCTCATGCACTCAGGAATTATTCCTGGCATTGTTCAGGGGACCATATGGGATGCTGGGAATTGAACTCAGGTCGGCTGAGTGCAAGGCAAATGTCCTACCCACTGTGCTATTGCTCCAGCCCCAACAGAGGGGTTTTGGTTTCGGGGTACATTTGACATTCTTAGGGTTTATCCTGGAGTTGCTTAGCAACCTCTCAGGTGCCACGCAGAAGGCCAGTGCATGACTCACTGTACTACTGCTCGGACTGGCAGAAATAACAAACCTCAAGTGATAAAGCTGAATCAAACGGATGGAGGCTGGAGTGATATCACAGCGCGTAGGGAGTTTGCCTTGAATGCGACTGACCCAGGTTTGATTCCCAGCATCCCATATGGTCCCCTGAGCATGGCCAGGAGTAATTCCTGAGTGTAGAGCTAGGAGTAACTGCTGTGCATCGCCAGATATGACCCAAAAAGAAAAAAAAATCAAATGGGTGAACATTTTAGTCTCAAATAACTTTATTTCTTCTTCGTTTTTTTCCCCTCTTAATTTTCTGGCCACATCCGGTGGTGATCAGAGACCATATGGGATGCTGGGAATTGAACCCAGGTCAGCTGCAAGTTTGGGAAGTGGCCTCCCCTCTGTACTCTCTCTTCAGCCCCAAAACTGATCTTTTTTCAAGTGTACATGAAGTGCTTCCAGGGACAGGCCATATGCTGGTCAGTTCAGTGGAGGTGGCATCTGACCTGGCACTGAGCCACCTGGCGCAGCTGACGACATAATGCACTACTTTGGAAGAACCCCTACTGCAAAAACTACAGAAAGCAAACAAACCCCCCAAATCGATGGAGAAGGAAGTCATACTATGAAATTTTTATGATCACCAAAAGGAAAACCAGAAAATAAAAACCCTCCCAAAAAAAACAACAAAAAATAAAGCTGGAGAAGCCTCAATTATGTGGAGGCCACACCGGGGCCCCGGTCATGGCAGCAACTTGGGCAGGAGTTTAACGTCCCAGAGAGCACGATAACGAAGAGGAAAGCCCCCATTCCATCCCCGGCACACAGGGTGAGACCCCTGAGCATGAGGCCAGGAGCAGCCTCAAAGCATGCCAGGGATCTCAGAGGGTGGAGGCACTTGCCTTGTCTGCTGCTGACCCCAGTTTGATCCTCAGCACTGCAGAGTCCCCTGAGCACAGCCAGGAATGACCCCTGAGCACAGAGGGTGGAGTCGTCCCCAGCACTGCTGATGTGATTCCAAAACAAAAACCAAAAAAGTTGATTAGAGAGGGTCAGAAAATGGGTCTAAATGGAGAAAATGCAAATGGAAAAAAGTTTACTTTAATGTCTGTATTTAAAATGAACACTGATGAAGGGATTGTGAGACACTGGGCACCCAAAATTTAATCATGAATAACTGAGTAACTTAGTAATTCAACTTAAGAAATTAAAGAAATAGAATGGGAACGTTTGGAGATGGTACAGTTGATAGGGTGCTGGCGTTGCACAGAGCTGACCCAGGTTCAATCCCTGACATCCCATATGGTCACCGGGGCATCGACAGGAATAATTCTGGAGTGCAGAGCCAGAAGTAACCCCTGAGCACCACTGAGTATGGCCCCCAAACAAATAAAAAATAAAATGAAAATGAAAATCAGGACACTGAAATTCTACTTGGCTAACAGCTAATTTGTCTACGGGCACACAGTGCAAGTAAAGGAAACAGGCTAGAAAGCCCTGGCAGGGATGGCAGGCAATCCCTGTGAGCAGGATTCTCAGGGTCAAAAGAGGGTCTGTGTGCATGCGTGCACCGGAACCAGGCTAACCAGGCCGCAACAGGCAGCCATGTACGATGGAGGCCACAAGGGAACCGAGTGGCTGTGGCTGGACCTGACTCATAACACCACAATCACTGTCAGATGACAACACAAACTTTGCCACTGACTTCCGAGCTGGACACAGTGGCCACAGAGCCAACGCCCGAGACGGCCTGCAGCCTCTGGGAAGCTTGGCATATACTCCTGACCCTGCACTCACTCACTGTTTCAACTCGCAGCAATGGAACTAGCACAGAACCCGAGATCCATAAAACTAAAGGCGAGAGTAACAGCGTCATTCTGTGCTGCGGAACCTGGCGCTCAGTGGGAGGATGGTGCTCTCTGTGGTGACCAGGGCTCCTGGGCTCTGCACAGTTGCTGCCTGTCCCTGGTCTCCCCAGCACAGCACAGCCGCCCCGAAAGCCGGGGCATGGCATGGACCGAGGCCGTTGGGCTCTTGACGGACAGCCTCTGATTCCCACCGACTCCAAGTCTAAAGGATCAATATTTCCTGGATTAGAAAACTCAAGGCCTAGGCCAGCATCTGTCAGGAGCTGGTGCTTCAGTGAGAGTGATACCAAAGTCCCGGGGCCTTCGGGAATGCCACTCGACACTGCTGACAGTGGCTCTGGCCTTGGCAAACTGACAGGGTCTCAGGGTCCCCAGCCAGGCCAGGCTGCAGAGAAACCCAGGTCCATGGAGTCAAGGGGGCACAGATGCCACCTGCTGGGCTGAGTGCCTGAACCTGAGTGCTCATGGCCACAGGAGCAGTGGCACTGGCCCCGAGGCACAGACTGGCACACGGGAGCGCAGTGAAGCGTGGCATCAGGGCAGTGGGTCTCTACATGTGAACTCTAGAGCCTCAGGGCACCTGGGCTAACTCACTGCCGGCCTTGGTAGTGGAGCGATGGGTACAGACGCGCCCTCGTGTTTAAGACTGTGCCTATTGTTGACACATTTCTGCAGCCGGGGGACATACAGGGCTGACAGGACACGTGAGGATGTGCCACAGGGCACAATGGGCAGGGCACAGGAGACAATAGCTAGACTCTGTTCTGGGGCCTCTTTCCAGACAACCTGCCACATGGTCTGCAGGAGGAACCTCGGCACCACAGAGCCCACACACTGCTGTGTGCCGGGACGATTGTGGGTTGGTGGGGCTGTTGTGTGTGTGTGTGTGTGTGTGTGTGTGACTGCTGTAGGTGGGTGGGGCTGTTGTGTGTGGGACTGTTGTCTCCTTTCTCCTGCCCTTCTGCCACCACGGGATGTACTCGGAGGACAAGCCCTGCTGTCCCTGGTGCCCCGTTTCCAGAGCAACACTGTCTTCAGTCTGAAGCCTGTGCTGTCCCTTTAAGGGTCTGCCTGCCCCCTCGGCCCTCCTTCTGCAGGCGACATTCCCGGGAGCTAAGTTTAGCTGCTCCCTTTCTAATCTGTCCCACGGGCTTCCCAATCTCTGTGCCTTGAGTCCCCAGAGAACTCGTCCCTCCTGCTGCAGATTCTGTTCTGGGGGCTCTCTCCAGACAGCCTGCCACACGGCTGCCTGGCCAGCTGGTGCCACAGTGAAATCCAGATGGACTTGCAGACCCAACACAGACCCCCCCCCTCCCAGCACACACGTGACCAAGAGCAGCTCCTACCCCCCTCACCGCGGAGACTGTGCCAGCCCTAGCCCCCGGGCTCTCCTTCTACGGACCAGCCTGCCAGTGCCACTGCCCAGGTCCCCACGGGAAGGACAAAGGCCACCTCCCCCATGCCTGCGAGGGCCTGTATCAGAGCTGTGCAGGCGCCCTGGAGAAGCACACGGACTGCTGGTGTTGCACAGGCTGAGTCGCCCCCAGCCCTGTGCTTGTGAGCGTGAGGGGAGGAGCAAGGCCCCATGACAGCAGCTGCTGGGGCTGTGGACAGGCTCCACGGCTCATGCTGTGCTCATGTCCGCTCAGACCCACCCTGGCGGCAGGAAGTGAGTGACAGGGACTGGCCAGAAGATCAGTCCACAGCCCTGTCCTCACCACTGTGCCATCTGCTCCCGATGCCCCTAAGCATGCTACAGGAAATGTAGACACCCGGGGCTCGGGGGCCAGAGGAGCAATGGGTCCGGAGGCCAGTCAAGGTCAAGGTGCCCTTCACTCAGTTCCACGCACCCCCAGCCCACAGCCTCCCGGGCTCCCCCACTGATGAATTGAGCCCTCATTGTAGAGACACAGGGCAGCAATGATCCGCACAGCTGGAGGGAGACACAGGGCAGCCTGTGTTCGGGCCTGAGCACACATGGGCAGAGCTCAGGTCGGGCGGGGGGGGGGGGGGCAGAGAGAAGCCCAAGTCTAGCCTGGCTAGAGTGTGAGCGAGGTTGTCCTTTGCCTGGTCTCCCCCAGCCTGAGCCGAAGAAGGCTGGTGGGTGGGGCCAGCTCACTCACAGGGCTGCTCCCCCCATGCCACGGCTGGGCAGCGCCAGGCACCGCGATGACAGAGCAGGACCGCGCGGTACCCGCATCTCTCGTCCGTGTTCCGGAGGCATCTCTTGAGCTGGCGCCCTCAATATGGATTCTTACCTGAAAGGCTGGGCTGTAGTGCTAGCATAGCGGGTAGGGTGTTTGCCTTGCAAGCGGCCAACATGGCCGACCCGAGTTTGATTTCTCTGCCCCTCTCGGAGAGCCCGGCAAGCTACCGAGAGTATCTCGCCTGCATGGCAAAGCCTGGCAAGCTATCCGTGACATATTCGATATGCCAAAAACAACAAGTCTCACAATGGAGACGTTACTGGGCCCGCTGGAGCAAATCGATGAACAACGGGAGGACAGTGACAGTGACCTGAAAGGTTGGTCAGAAAGACCAGGAGGAACCATAGCATTTTCCTTTAGGTTCTGGGAGGTGATGGGGGGCAGGGGGTTAGACTTCAGTGTGTTCACTGCACAGAACCACGCAGAAAGGTGACTGCAGTTC